GAAAGAAAGCAAGAAAGAAAGGAAGGAAGGGAGTATGAAATGAATAAAGAAAGCACACCAGAAAGAAATAAAAGAAATGAGCGAGCGAAAGAAAGAAATCAATCCAGAAAAAACAGGCAAAGTTTGAAAATACGAAAGAGAAAGAACATGAAAGAAACACAGAAACAAAGATACAAGCAATAGGATACTACATAGTCCAATCGAATATGCCATAATATCGTAATGGACCATAAAATATGTAGCATAATGTAACCTGATGTTATATAATATACTAAATATTATGTTGTATATATACAAACTGTATTGTACTATGTTACAATGTACTACACTATAAACTAAAATGTTGTTTTGTTCTATGTTATCTTCTGGTATATTGTATTGTCGCGTTTTGTTCTGTTATTAGATGCTATAAGAAGCAAGGTTCTGTTATGTCAGAAAATGTCACACTATTTTTGTGATGTCGAACCATCTTATGTCGGTCTTATGGTTTACTATGTTATATTATGTTATAGAGTGTTAACGGAAGAAGAGACACGAACAGGCACGGAAAACGAAAGACCCACCGCCGCGCTTTTCCAGCCGTGCAAGCTTGATTCAAAGAGTGTTTTCGAAGCCCATCATGTGAGCGTTGTGTCTGCAAATGGGGGGGGGGGCTGCGCCCCCCCAACCCCCCCGCTGAACCAGAATCGCCAAATGAGGGGGTGTGTTTAAGATAGGTGATGAAGCGGAATACCAGCAAGAGCTACAACACGAAATCCGTCCTAAATGCGAAATTGTAACGAAAATTTGATTTTCCCGAGGAACAACCAAAGATAACGTATGTTTTCCTTCTGAAAATCTGAAGAAATGATACGAACGCCATAGGTAATAGACAAATGGTGTTTTTCCCAGGAAAACCAAGGAAAACTTCAGGAAATACCACGGAATCCATAGGAAAATCGTGTTTTCCCGAGGAAAAACCAGTCAGATCCTAAGGAAATGAAAGAAAATCCATAGGAAAATAGTGTTTTCCCTAGGGAAATTCAGGAATTGCTGTATTTTGAGTGATTCAAAAATTTTGATCCTTATTTTAAGGTGTTTTTTGATGCCTCTGCCCCAGGAATTGCTGTATTTTACGTGACTTAATCTTTTTTGATCCTTGTTTTATTTTGTTTTGATCCTGGTACTTTAATTCTTTTGATCCTTAATTAAGTTTTTTTTGATCCCTCACCCTGTCAACCACAAACACAATCACAACCACAACCACAACAGCAACCAACGACAACAACAACAGCAACAACAACAACAGCAGCAACAACAACAACAACCACGACCAACAGCAACATCATCATCAACAACAACAGCAACAGCAACAGCAGCAGCAACAGCAACAGCAACAACAACAACAACCAGGACGACGACCACGACGGCATCAATGAAACTCCGATGAACCCTCCACAGGGATCCTGCGCGTCGATGTGCTGGCGCTGTGGTGCGGTGCAAATTTTCTACGTCCCCGATGAACCCTCCACAGGGATCCTGCGCGTCGAAGCGCTGGCGCTGTGGTGCGGTGCAAATTTTCTACGTGCTCGATGAACCTTCCACAAGGATCCTGTGCGTCGAAGCGCTGGCGCTGTGGTGCAGTGCAAGTTTTCTACGTCCCTGATAAACCTTCCACAGGGATCCTGCGTGTCAAAGCGCTGGCGCTGTGGTGCGGCGCAAATTCTTTACGTCCCCGATGAACCCTCTACAGGGATCCTGCGTGTCCAACCTTAAACCAAGGGTTGGCCGCACCTCGGAAAAAAAAGGGTTGGCCGCACCTCTGAAAAAAAAAAAACCCCGCCCTTCTTGGCTTTTCGGCTTCTTGGCTTTTTTCTTCGGCATAGAGAGCCTCATAAATCAGTCCTTAAGTCACGCCCTCAACCCTAAACCGAGCCGAGGCGAATTTAGGTCAGTAAAGCGGGATAGAAGTTAAAAAAAAGTTAAATAAGGATCAAAAAGAAATTAAATAAGGATCAAAAAAGATTAAATAAAGATCAAAAAAATTTAAACGGGTATCCGCGAAAGGAAGGGGAAAAAGGAACGAACGACAGAGAGAGAGAGAGAGAGAAGAAAGAAAGAAAGAACGAAAGAAAGAAAGGAAGAAAGAAAGCAAGGAAGAAAGAAAGAAAGAACGAAAGAAAGAACGAAATAAAGAAATAAAGAAACAACGAAAGAAAGAACAAAAGAAAGAAATAAAGAAACAACGAAAGAAAGAAAGAAAACCTTGCAAGAAACAGAGAAATAAGTAAATAAAGAAAGCTGTAAGTAAAGAATGAAAACAAAAATAGAGAACTAAGTAAAGAAAGAAAGCTACAAGGAAAGAAAAAAGAAAACACAAGGAAAGAACCAAAAAGAGTTGACAACTTAGAGAAATACCACGGAATCCGTAGGAAAATCGTGTTTTCCCCAAGAAAAACCAAGCAAATCCTTAGGAAACGAAAGAAAAATCCGTAGGAAAGCAGTGTTTTCCCTTGGAAAAATTCAAGAATTGCTGTATCTAAAAAGCAAGAAAGAAAGACAGAAAGAAAGAAAAAACGAGAGAGATAACGAAAGAACGAAAGCAAAAACAAGACGAAGAACGAAAGCAAGAACTAAAGAAAGAAACTTAACGAAATACAACGGAATCCGTAGGAAAATCGTGTTTTCCCGAACCAAAAACCAAGCAAATCCTCAGGAAATGAGAACGAATCCGTATGAAAACAGTGTTTTTCTGGGAAAAATTCAAGAATTGCTGTATCTAAAGAGGACGAAAACAAGGAAAACATAAAGAAAGAAAGATAGAACGAGGGAGAGAACGAAAGAACGAAAGCCAAAACGAAAGAAAGAACGAAAGCAAGAACGAAAGAAAGAACGAACCAAAGAAAGAACGAAATAAATCAAACCAGAAAGGAAAGCAAGAAAGAAAGGAAGGGAGTATGAGATGAACAAAGAAAGAACAACAGAAAGAAAGAAAAGAAATGAACGAGCGAAAGAAAGAAAGAAGTCCAGAATAAAAAAGCAAAGTTGGAAAATACGAAAGAGAAAGAATATGAAAAAATCACAGAAACAAAGATACAAGCAACAGGATACTACATAGCCCAATCGAATTTACCATAATATCGTAATGTACCGTAACATAATATAACATAATGTAAATGTAACCTATAAAATATACTACATATTATGTTGTAAATATACACACTGTACTGTACTATGTTACAATGTACTACACTATAAACTAAGATGTTGTTTTGTTCTATGTCATCTTCTGTTATATTGTATTGTTGTATTTTTAGTATGCTATTATATGCTATAAGAAGCAAGGTTCTGTTATGTCAGAAAATGTCACACCATTTTTGTGTTGTCGAACCATCTTATGTCGTTCTTCTGGTTTACTATGTTATATATATTAGGTTAGAATGCTAACGGAAGAAGAGACACGAACAGGCACGGAAGAACAAAACACCCGCCGCCGCGCTTTTCGAGACGTGCAAGCTTGATTCAAAGAGTGTTTTCGAAGCCCATCATGTGAACGTTGTCTCTGCAAATGGGGGGGGCTGCGCCCCCCCCAACCCCCCCGCTGTTTTAAGCCGTGCAGGGTTGCTTTGATTCATATGCTTTTTTTTGAAACCCAGCAAATGAGGGCATTAGGGGTACCTTATTTTGGGCGCCTCGCAATAAGGATCCTACTATTTTATGGGTACTATGAGGGTCCCCTATTTTCGACAACTATTACTATTACTTTTACTCTCCCTATTGCGATTGCTATTGCTATATTACTATTGCTATCGCTTTTGCTATTGCTATTGCTATTACTATTACTATTGCTCTTGCTGTTGCTATTGCTGTTGCTGTTGTTATTGCTGATTGCTACTACTTTTACTCTCACTGCTACTATTACTCTTACTCTTACTATTGCTGTTGCTGTTGCTATTGCCATTACTACGACTACTACTATTACTACTACTACTACTACTACTACTACTACTACTACTAGTGCTACTACTACTACTACTACTACTACTGCTACTACTACTACTACTACTACTACTGCTACTACTAGTACTACCACTACTACTACTACTACAACTACTACTACTACTACTACTACTACTGCTACTGCGACTGCTACTGCGACTGGTGCTACAACTACAACTACAACTACTACTACTACTACTACTACTTCTACTACCAGGGGTCTTGTTGGGTTTAGAGCTAGGCGGCATTTGAGGTTTTCGGATGTAGGACTTGTTCTGTGGGCCTAGAGTGGGCGCGGAAAATGTTTGGGTTTGGGGTTCAGGGTTTAGGGTATGGGGTGTAGGGTTTAGTGCAAAGAGTTTAGGGTTTAAATTTAGGGTTTCGGCTTAGGGTGCTGACAGGGGCCACAAGACTTAACGCGACAGGGGCAGCAATAGCAACATGAGAAACAAACGTAGGAGCAATCCATGGTATCAGAACTGAGCACGCAGCACCATACACAGGTTCGATTTCAAAGCCCTGAGTTTAAAACCCAATCCCAACGCCCCAAACCCTCAGCTGTAAATCTGCAGGCTCAGAAAGGAACCCCCACGATCTTCGGTGCCCTGCAAGGCAATGCAACACGGCCAAGCAAACCACAAAAAAAAAATGCACAAAAAAAAAATCCCAAACTAATTCCAGACCCCTTCTAAATCCTGCACCCGGTGTACATGGACCTCGGGCAACTGTACAAGAACCTCGGGATCGTAGCCGAAGTCGTGATGACGAGGATGTGTCTTAGTCGATCAGGGCATGCAGGGCAAAATATCTGCTGAGTGACTGTGAGCTGCCTGTTCTGACACTTTTGGAATGTAAGATTCCAGTGAGTCGTCCGTCCTTGGCATGATCAGTTCTTAGTGAGCTGGAGTGCCCATTTGTTTGTAGTGTAGGCCCCATTTGTCTGGCAGGCTACTTCCAGCTACGTCATGCGGAGCGTAGAAAGAAGCCACTGCACCTTAAAAAACATCCTGCACCCGAGAGAGGACGGCCTAACATCCGAAGAGACCATTTACTTGGCCACCTTCTCCAGCTCTCTGGACGGCGTGCCCGGGCTAGGGCGTACCATGGTTGGGTGGTAATTAATTAGGGATAGGGGCTTAGGGTTTTAGGGCTGAGGGTTTGGGATTTAGTTTCCCTTGTTGTGACCTATTCACAAATAAGCGTGGGGACCTTTACATGACAAAACCACGGTGGTGATAGTCCAGCATCCTTAGTAACCGCCGTCCAGCAAGCAAAACTCTTCGACTTCAAGATTCTAGGCTAGAACGAATACCTTCCACGCAGCATTAAATGGTAATTCTGGGGCCGAAATCCTGGAAGACTTCTTTTGGAGGGACATGGGGGACCGAGATCAAACATTAAGCTGTGCTCATTAACTTCACCCCGATCTGCGAAAACTTGCTTTTGATTGACCAGGCCCCTGAAGCGTGACATAGGGCCCCAAAACGCATGCCCCCACTTCATGAAATCCCCCCTCCCTAACAATGCACACTTCCACACAGTGGAAAAATATAATTACTACCAGATCCGGCATATGTGTAAATGGATGGGATTTCGGGGGATTCATTCTTCGGGGAGGGGATAACCCCAAACTTAAACCCCCAAACCTAAACCCTAAAACCGACAGCGTAAAACCGAACCCCAAACCCAGGCTCAGAACGGCTGCGAGGATGGGGATTGGAGCTTTGACTGCACAGTACTATGGGGGACATTGTTGGCATTAGGGCTGCGGTGAAGGATCTGGGGCTTAGGGCTTTGAGTTTGGGGTGTAGGAGTCTTGCGTTTACGGCATTACTGGACCTGTAGTGCCCAACCCTCATCCCCGAAGTCTCAGAGCCAAGACCCGAAAGCCCCGAACCTGCCTAGGCATGGAACCTGCCTGAAAACTGCGAACCCTCCGCGCCTCCAAATAGGATGCATAAGGATTGAGTCAGCAAATGCTGGGTACTACTAGCTATAGAGCTTCGACTGGCAACAGCCAGGCGACGTGGCAAGCCTCGTCGTTGGCTTGTCTGGAAGTTGGAGGGTAGTTCTATGAAGGTTGCAAGTAGCTGACATGAAGCCAGAAGACTTGACTAGCTCAGGACCTTAGAACTACGCATGAACCTCCAAGAAACAGATCCCATACAACGCCTTCTGCGCGTGCCAGAGGCGTTGTATGTGAGTGCAAATCGCATGGTGCTAGCCTCTCCGACCTGCCACAGTCCATGGTGACGACCTGTGGCAAACTTGTGTCCTCCAGCTGAACAGGAAAGGCATCAGCAAATGGCTGAGGTGCATTGATGTAGACGCCAACGCTGCTTATGTGTGCCAGAGAATGCAAAACCCGCACCTACAGGAGTAGTGCTTAGGACCTAGGACTGGGGGTCTGACTGCACCGGGCCAAGGATCCTTCGGAAGGTCAACCCCGAGCTGGATTACGTTGACGCCTGGCAGAGGGAAGCGGAGCGAGAATGTTGGCTTAAGGGGGATCTGCTGTGCGGCCACTCTGCCATTCCCTAGGAGCGGCACGCTAAAGCTGGTGAAGTGGGCCATGTGGTCTGAGCAAACATTTTCGGGTACGGGCAACAGTGCCCCTATTCCCTATAGTTTTTAGCTCGAGCCAGCGACACGCGTGAGGCTACCAGCACCAAGCAGGATGCAGGGCAAGAAGAGATGAATGGGAAGATAGATTTCAGGCTCGGGTTTGCGCTTGGAGCCAAGGAGGGCGAGACTGGCGAGGTGTCCTTGCGCGGCGAAGCGCTGGGCTGTTCGCCGGTGCCCGGGCTACCCCCTGGGGGGCCCTGGGGCCCTGGGGTTAAGGGTTCAGGCTGATGCTTGGGGGTGGGGCATAAATAGTCTTTGGGGGTCGTATGAAGCCAGATTCATTGGCTGTTGCGGGTATATCACGCTGTTTCCCGCACTGTTCAGCAAATCTTCCCCAACTCCGTCTTCAAGTCGATGCCCACTGCATCTTTACAAGCCAAGCTGCCAAGGCAAGCCTTGACATCAGGACAACTCTTGACAATCCTTGTCTAGCAGAAAGACCCTGTCTGACAGAAAGGCCATGTCTAACAGACAAAGTCAAACAACAAGACTATGTTTGACAGCTAACGCAAAAACTGTGTTTAGCAGACAGACAAAGTCAAACCGAAAGAGCCTGTCTACCAATAGGGATAGCTGCTGGTTAGGGAAGGCACGTGATCAAATAGGGGCGTGTCTCCAAAAACAAGCCCGAAACTAGAGTTGTAACTAGGCCCAGAGGGCCGCATCACAACATCCCCTCGCCTCCTCTTCCATCCTTCATCCATGACCTTCGTAAACAAAATGGCCATCGCCGCTGCTCTATACAGCCAGCCAAGACCCGCGCATTCTTTTGAGGGGAAGCAAGACCAAAACAAAGGACCCTCGAAGACCTTCAAGATATCCTTGTCAGAAGCAAGCATATCCAGCCTCCGAACTCATACCAAACAGTGAAGATAGCAGCGGCAGCAGCAGCAGCAGCACCACCACCACCACCACCATTTTCGTGCTTGATGAACCCTTGCCTTAAGGGCCTTAACGTTACTCAACCCGAGGCCCCAAAGCTCTGGATGCTAGAGTTTAGGGTTGACTGGCCATGCTTTAATCATACCATGGTGAATTCGGGTTATTTAGGATTTCCCACGGCCAAAAAAGAGGGGAATCCTGATTACAAACGCCCGAAACGGGACCCCTGCTTGTTGGAAATTCTCCATTGTGGACACCAATCTGTCCGGCGCATGCTCTTTTGGGATCCGAGCCTTTTAACCCTGAAGCCGGAACTCAATACCATCAAGTCCAGGCCTTCCAGGTGAGATTTTCCGCCTCTTCCTGCCAACAGCCTGCCAATCTGACCGCCGCTGCGGAGGAAGAAGAAGGAGGGTGTTACCAGGGGCTAAAGCTGGCTGTTTATTGATGTAGCGGCTTCTCATAGGGTTTGCAGGGTTTAGGGGCTGGGGTTGAAGGCGTGGGGTTATAGGGTCTAGGCCCAGTCTATGCTGTGCTTAAGAAATGGACTGGATGTGGTCTGGTTTGGGAGCACTGGCCAATCCCCACTCCCCAAGATTGAACATCCTGTAGAGTGAAAAAAGAATAGGAGGAGACAAGTACAGTATGTAAGGCAAGGCACAGGTATATACCTCAACCCTCGTCTAGAATGTAGGCCATGGGAAGTTTGGATTAAGGCGGCGGTTGAGGTTCCATAAGACCGCAGATGTCACCATGAAGCAGCTTTTACACGGTTTAGGGTCTCAGCTTTAGGGATCCCCGAATTGTTGCTACGGGTTGCATGGCACCTCCCCGTCGCCCCTGCTGACTTGGACTCGCGTTCATTGCAGACTTCCCATCCGCTCCAACCCTCAAGCCTTCCATCGTCGCGCTGAGGGATCCTCATCATAAAGGGATTTTGACACATTTTTGTGGGAGTTGACAAAAAAAAGCATTCAGCCCCTGACCAAGCTATCCTGAGCCTCTGAGCATCTCTGAGCCTGCAGGCCGAAGCCCGTTCATTCTGGACGACCCGGGGACGACGGGTCCAGCGGATTACACCTTGCACCATTGCGCCCCGCGTCGTGCAATAATGATTCAGGGCGGACTTAGGACTTCCGCAGAATCTCCGTTCACGACTTGTCTTTGAACGTTCCTGGAGCCTTCAGGGCACCCTGCTTGGAGGCTCACGTGCAGATTTCTGCAACGTAGCTGATTTTTCCATCTACGCTGAGGGTTGGACTAAAGCACGTTGGGTATATAGCCTCTTTAAAGAAGCAGCGTGCTCCAGCTTCCAGAATGAGCGTTTCCTCCGAGCTCGGCATCGCGCTCCAGAGCGATCACTTGGTCCGTAAGGACCTCACGAGAAGCTTGCATGCGGGACACTCTGCCATGGCGCATGCGCACGAAGCCTGGATGCAGCTGGAGCGGCTGGGTGCCGACGTGATGTCCATCGGCAGGGTAGTCGGCTTCGTCGACAGGGAACCTGTACAAAGACTCAAAGTTGTGCATGCGTGAGCCATGGGTCGTTTCCGAACCTTTCTAGACACCCAAGTGACCATGGACTACCTGGCGATCCTCGTGAACAACGACAACACTCGATTTGAGTCAAGTTCGTAACTCGTACCACAAGGTTCAGTCGAACATGGTTGTTGCGATGATGGACAACTACGACGTTTGGGAGAAGTTCGCTAGGAACGTGTGGCAATGCCGAGGGTCACGACGATATGCAGGTCGTCTTAATCAACGTTGGTCTGCCGGTGGACCTCAGCGAGCAGAACTTCTATCCGACCCCTAAGTGCCGTACATGGTCACTGATTCGCTACCGAAGACAGGTCGACCAACGGCATGTCACAGATGCCATCCGATGCCGCAAACTTGCAGGAGTCTTTGTCCTTTCCTACCCCGACTTCCTGGGCCCGGTCCGTGAGGCAATGAGCCTGAGCAGCAAAGCCAGCCTGCTTGCTATCCAGCATTCGTTGGCCGCCTGCGCTCGTCTGCGCAATGATGTCATGCGATGATGGCATGCGCAAGCATCGCAAGCTCGATTGCATCCTCCAGGAGGAGATCCTTTGCGTTTGGTACGCATGCCTTGGCAAAGATGGAGTTGCTGACTTTGGACTCGTAGAGCAAATCATCCGTGAGCTTTTGGAGAAAGCAGCCCTCGCGGATTTGACAGGCTCAGAAACATGTTTGGAAATGCACCGTGACGAAGATAGCCCAGCTTCAAAGCAAACCTGGTGGCCCTAGTTCTTGAATCCTAGAAGTTCCTTGTGGAGTCCACTGCGGCCTCCATGCTATGAAAAGACAAGACTTGTATGAGAAGTTATTGGCACGGCAGTCGTTTCGTTGAAGCTGTAGAATCAACTCAAGCAAGGCCGACCTTCTCGGCCCTGTGCCCTGCACAGTCACTGTAACACAACACGAAGAGAGCACACAGCGCAGAGCACACCTTCACTCACGGACCCAAGCGGGCTCTTTTCCCGTTGCCTTAGGCCGCCCCCCCGTGTGCCACTTAAACCCCTTTATTTGCCAGCCAGGACCTGTGTGTTGGTTCACAACCACCAGTTCTGGCTGGCAAATAAAGTGGTTTTGGTTTGCAGAGCTCAATTGGACCACAATTAAATAGTTTAAAATCCGGAGGCATCCCCCAATGTTTCAATGATTTAGATGATTAAATTCCCGGCCCGAATTACATTTTTCAATCAAATCAAATAAACTCAATGATTTAAACCTGGGGAGGGGCGTCCCGGAGGGTTCCAAGCGCCGGGAATTCAACAATTTAAGTCGTTTGAATATTGGGGGAAGCCTCCGGATTTAAATATTTAGTTCCGGTGCTCGGGACCCCCGGGAACCCCCTCCCCAGGATTTTAAATTATGTAAACTGTTTAAATATTGAATTCCCGGCCCGAATTGAATAATGTAAATGATTTAAATCCGGAGGCCTTCCCCAGTATTTACATTATTTAAATTGTTTAATGCCCGGCCGTCAAACCATGCCGAAGCAAACCCACTCTCCCTAGCCGGGAGAGGGGTTTGCTTTTTGACCCTTTTGAGCCAATTTTGCTTGCAAACCCTGCCGAAGCAAACCCCCTCTCCCGAGCCGAAAGAGGGGGTTTGCTTTTGAACCTTTTTCAGCCAAATTTGCGCGCAAACCCTGCCGAAACAAACCCGCTCTCCGAGCACCAAATTTTCTGGAAAGATCCACTTCCGAAAATTTGGTGCTATCGAACAGCTATGTTTTCCAAATCTGAAGCCAACAATGAGCGGTTCGATACCACCGAATTTTCTGAGAGGAAACGCTTCCGAAAAATTTGGTGCGATCGAACCGCCACGTTTTCCAAATATAAAGCCAGCAGGAGCGGTTCGATAGCACCAAATTTTTTGGCAGCGGTTCTTTCCAGAAAATTTGGTGCTATCGAACCGCTCCCTGTTGGTTTCATATGTGGAAAACGCAGCGATTCGATCGCATTAGAATTTCCCCTTTCTATTTCTTATCAACAAAGCAAAGCCCCATGTTGTTAACCTATGCCGTGGGCTTGATCGTCCCGCTTTGTTGGTGCATGCTTTGGCCCCTTGTTTCAATTTTTCGCCAACAAAGAAAAGCCTCATCTTGTTGACCTATGCTGTGGTCCTGCCCCTTCTTGTTTCACTAGAAAAGACCCGCCACTTTGATAACCTATTTTCCAGCCCCTTTACCGAAAACACGTTCCATTTTGTTAGTGTATGCTGTGGCCCTTTTCTATTTTTCATCAACAAAGAAAAAGACCCATTTTGTTGACCTATGCTGTGGCCCTGCCCCTTCTTGTTTCACCAGAAAAGACACGCCACTTTGTGAACAATTCTCTGGCCCCTTTACCCAACCAAAAGCCCCGCTTTGTGCCCATTTCCATTTCCTATGTTCGCCGACAAGAAAGGCCCCATTTTGTTAGTCTATGCTGTGGCCCGGCCCCTTCTTGTTTCACTAAAAAAGACACACCAGAGAGAGATCCCTTTGCCGCCCTCCCTTCCCTGTCAGGCTCCCCTCTCACCCCCCCTCTGTCTAGCTCCCCACCCCCCTTCCCTTCTTATCCTCCCTATGCCTGTCTCCTCTCTCCTTCCATCCTCCTCTTACACCCTTCACCCCACCCTGGCCCCCCCTCTCCCCTATCGCCATGACACCTGCCCCCTCTTCCACTCTGTCCCGCACCTCTGATGAAGATGTTAGAGATGCAACATATGATGAAGATGATAGAGATGATGGAGATGTTAAAGACGATTAAGCTAATACATGTAAGAAAGATGACAGTAATTATATAATTTCGGGGTTGGTAGGGGTTCGGAGAGGAGGGGGTCGGGAGTGGAAGGGGGGGATGAGGAACGGAGGAGGAGACTATGATGTTGTGTAATTCCTCTGCCCTGTCACCCTGACAACTGCCCCATCTCTCCACTCTCTCCACCTCATCTCTGTCCCGCACTCCCCACCTTCCCTCCTCCCCAATTACATGCAGACAGGTTGAGCGGTCCATGAGTATAGTCAATGTCCGTATATGTCGTCTTGCTACAGTACTGCTAATCCAAACCGGTATATGGAAAACACACGGGTCCTGGCTGGCAAATAAAGTGGTTTAAGGGAGCCACCCCCCCTTTGCGAGAAGCCTTCTTTGTCCGAGGAATGTGCACCTCGCGCATGGGCCACTCCGGCGCATAGAGTTTGCAGAGCCGATTCATAGCTTCGTAGGCACGCATGCCGGCATCTGCCACATAGGCTACAAGAAGAGTCGACAGGATCCACGGAGTGGAAGTGAGACGGGGGTTGTGCGGGTTAACGTTTCTGGCATGCGCAAAGATGGTATTGTCAAGTTGAATATGCCCAGGAGCAGAAATTAAGGCAGGGAAGGAGGATGGTCAAGTCCAGCTCAACCGACCAGCAACATCTCAGGAGCCTTTTGGGAAGCCCTTAGATTCCAAACCCTAAACCGACAAGTTCCGAAGCAACTGGCCTACTGAAGGGGTTCAAAAACAGAGTAGAGCTTGGCTAGTTTGCATTTGTACTTTAAGGCACCTTTAAGGAATACAGTTGAGTAGCATAGGCGACATTTGGGCCCCTGTCATTGTAGTTGGGCGGAATCCTACCGGTCCAATTTGTTGGCGGTGTTGGCGGTTCGTTCTCAAATGTTTTTCCACTCATCCACTGCATACTGGGACTCCAACAACACGCTTAACACCGCAAGTGCCCGAAGGCGCATCCAAAGCCCACTAGGAGGAAGCTCTTTCAGCCCCGCTAACATCCCCAAGCCCTATAAGCCTTCAAGCTTCAAGCGAACCCTTATCTCCGAAGCCCCTCCTTATTCTAAACCCCTGACCCTTAGTACCTAAACCCCCGAATCCCCAAATCCCGTAATATCCAACATTCCCCCGAAATCCCCCGAGAGCCCCAAAGTCCCTGAATCCCAGAGCCAGGGCACGGAGGAACCGGTGACGCCCGAGTCCTTCGAGGCCATTCCACCTGGGTCCAACAACGTCTTCATTCCGTGGCTCGGCAAAAGCTTGATGACTGCAGCAGACTTTTCTTCCACACGAAAGTCTTCATTCCGTGCCTTGGGTCTTTCTGGGCTTTGGGGTTTGGGTTTGGGGTTTAGGGTTTGTGGCTTAGGGGTTTAGAATAGTTTAGAGTTTAGTGTTTGCGGCTGTTAGGCTTTAGGGTTTTGACATGCCCTCGACCCCGGACACCTCCATCCAACCTTCGAGCAGATTGTCACATCGAGGGCGTCTCAAAACCGGAAGAGCCTGCAAATATGCTAGGGGCTCCCTGTGATTATATGGGATCATATGGGGGTAATACTGAAAACCTACCACATGCTATGGATAGCGCTGTCCGGGGAATGCCTACGCCTCCATGCTTGCCAAAAGCTGTAAGGCTCACCGGGGGAAAAAGCTTCCAAACCCTTAGCCCGAGCTAAATCCGAAAGGTTCTCAAGCTTTCCCAACCCTCATCCCTCATGGTCCCTCAACCACCCTAAAGCTACATCCCAAGGCCTCCCTTCGATTTGGCCACTGGCCAGATGGTATGCCCTGCACAGAACCTCATCAGCGTGCACTACGAGACGGATGCCGAGGTGCCCAGGTACCCTAAACCTCCCAAACCCTGAACTCTTAAATCGAAGGATCTCTTTCAGTGCACAAGGTCTGCAGACACAGCCTTGGCGTTTAGGAAGCTGCCACGGTGAAGCCATGATTCCCTGAGGGCGAGCTCCGTGTGGCTTTGAGGTTTAGGCTTTGGGGCTTCGGGTAGTCTGGGCGTCCCTTCCCTGATTCAAAGGCCATGGAGCGATCTGACTGTGAATCGCGTTGCAAGGCAGGGAGACGGTGCATTAGGCTTTATGGGACTTCGGGTTATGAATTCCCTGCCCTTCATACCATCAGTATTCCCAAGGTTTAGCAGAACACGTTGGGAATATGTACGTTCTGGGATATGGGTGTTGATCCCTGCTCCCTTGTCGAGGTGATAAATTGAGAGAGTTTGAAGCTTGGAGCTTGAGAGTGTCTTCCTTCGTGTGGATGCTGTTGAGGCAACGCACTAGCATAGTCAACGAACTCTTCAGCAGCCAGTCGAGCCAACCACACAAGGTTATGAGTGTGCAGATGCCCGCACAGCAGTGCATATTCCCGGACACCCAAAACCTTCATGCTGGGTTAAGCGCAGAGTTTAAGCAACCCAAAGCCAAAGCACCTCTAGAATCCGTGTATCAGGGCGTTGCAGGTAGGGTCGCTGTAGCGTAATACTTTGTGAGCTATATAATATAGCCTTGTGAACTAACTAAGCCCTTGAAGCCGGCGTAAAGAGACTCTAAACAGTAAGCTCGTAACGAGTCTTGACACCGACAAACCCCTGGACTAACCTTAAAGCCTTAAACCCCTAAGACCTCAGGCTTAAGCCCTAAATCCTAAAGCTTTACCCGTAAACCTTAGAGGCCCCAAATCCTAAACCCCTCCCCTATTCCTCATATATACCCAGGCTGAGGCGAGATGTGAGTTCTACTGGCATGGCACGCAGTCCGCCGCAAACACCTGCAGGCCGCAGACAACGGCACAGGACGCTTTAATTTCTTCAACCTTGCGGGGCTTAGAAATCAGGGGTTAGGGTTTCAAAGGTTTAGGAAGTCAGAAATTTTCCAGGCTTCAGGCAGGGGTTGGAATGTGGAGATGAGTGTTTTAGGGATCAGGGTCTGTGGTCCAAGCCCAAGTCCTTACCTCTTAAGCAATATAAGCTTTTCCGCCAAACAAACTTCCCCAAAGTCAGACTGTATGCTTGGGTCCTGAAGCACGCAGGCGAAGTTGTTCATCGAGGATCAGGGATTAGGTTTCAGGGCTATGAGTTAGGGTTTCGATCTGGGAAGAACCACGAAACGCTAATCATCGGCAACAGGCAGGTTGAGTATTGGGGATCAGGGCTTGATGTTAAAATTGCGAACCTCGAAGACCGCTTCCACCTCCACCCGCTCAGAAAAATATAGCGACAGAAAACAAGAGATATTCGACGAGCGTCTGTGCAGTGTGGGGGCGCCACGCGGAGAGGACTCACGCGTGAGCCGGGGCCGGGCCGGGAGCGTGCCAGCAGTAATTTGCGTGCGTTGAAGCTGCGCGTCGCGGCAGGTTCGTGGGTGGGGGGAAAAGCGTGCCCGACATGACACAGTCGGGATTTAGGGTCTTGTCTTGGCTGCGGGCTTTCTTCTTAAGAATACTATTTCATGCATTCCGTACCTGTTATCTGGTGTGATGTCACAAAATGAGCCCTATCTCATAAGTCTCACAATTCACGGGCCCGGACCAAGATTTGTGCAGTCGACACATAATTAACATTGGCTACAGCGGCGGAAAGGCAGAAGGGCCGGCCGGGGCGCGCTGAGAGAGCCTGCTGAAACGCTTAGTACGTTAACGCCCGACCGACAACGAATCACGATCCAAAATTTCTGAGGTCTAGTTTGAGGCTGGCCCAACGACGAATGAAAGGCAAAATCCCCAATGCCCGGACGAATTTTGAAGCTACTCGACGAGGCCACAAATGTCATTCCACAATGCTGGGAAAATCTTTGATGCCGAGGGGATTCGGGGTATTGGAATGAATACTGCTTAGAGAAACCCTTGAGGTGGTGGCTTGCCTCAAAGTCCGAAAGATTGTCCATGCGTTTCGAGTAAACTGATCAATTCACTTTGGTACGGCATTTGGGGCCGTATAGGGTTCAACCATACACCTGCCGAACCCAGTTATCTTGTGCGAACGCACCACATGCGTCACATGCACAACCCAACGCCCGCAACAAATCGTAAACCCCTGCCGTACGACATCCTTCCGCTATCTTGTGTTAGCTCGCAACATTCACATCCCCCCCTTACTCTCTCCGACAACCCCGATCTTAGTCTTGTGTGACTTGTGTGAGCTCACAACATACATACACCAGCCAACGCCCGTGACAGCTCGTCCCTCTTTCTTGTGTGACCTCACAGCATACAAGGGTGAGCAACCGTAACAAATCGTACCCTATCTTGTTGAGCTCACAACAGGCACAAGCCGGGGGACGACTTGTTTTTGTCCGTTTTCACAACGCGCACACACACAGACACGCCAACGCCCCAAAGCCTTGGAGTCGTAGACTTGAAGCGGACGAAGCACATCGGAGTTCCTTCTTGGATAAAGTTAAAGCTGGGACGACCAGTGGGTAACTGCGTCTGCAACTTTAGTTACAACCAGGTATCATCTTCCTCGGAGTCCCTATCTACCTGGTGAAGCTTACCGTGAACTTGCAGTTAGGGGACGAAGGAAACCGTCGAGATCAGGAGAAGTGTATGTGCGCCGGCCCACCGAAGGGCGCATCGAACAAAGCTGTGGTGCAGCAAACGAAATTTTGGGTGGTGGGCGAGGACTACCGGAGGCGCATCTACCAAGGGCCAGCGCAAGGAGTTGCGAATAAAAAGAGGGAAATAGAGGCCCCGTTTTAGCTTCCACGAAGTCTATACTCTCGGCTGGCCAGTGCTCTTAAACTTGAAGCAATGAAGCGCCGGGAATTTGCAGACTGGTTTCATGGCAAAATGCAGATGTCGCCAGTGTGAGCCAGCTCTGATCGAAACCCTGGCACACACGGAGAAAAATACACTTCCCCACCCACATCCCCCAGAACAATGGAAATTCCCAACACCATATGACACACCGTGGTGGGAATTTGTTCTCAAGCGGTTGGGAGTTTTAGGGGGCCGGGAGCCGGGAACCAAAGCAGACAACCCTAATCCTGGCTGACACCTTCATGGTCCTATAGACATGTCTTATTTGATATATATATATATATATATATATATTGGGGGGATGTTGTATGTAGGATATAGTACATTCTTTGTGCGGTTTTATCTCATGGATGAGTCCTATGCTGTAGCGATCCCACAATCCGACGGTTCCGGCAGACATTTCGCTGAGGCCATCACTTCAGATGCGTTAGCTGCGCAGTTCTTGCAGGTTTTGGTGTTATAGTTGGTTAAGATCCCAAGCCCTACACACTCCAAGATCTTGAACCCCGAGTCAAAGAGCCACTTGCGCAGGCTCTACTGGGCCTGTGGAGTCCTCTTGCGCGAGCTTCGGTGGGCTCTTGTGCAAGTTTCTGTTCGGTATTCAAGGTCGTGTACGGTTGACGGCAGGTTCAGGGTTTCGGGTTTGGGGTTTGGTGTTTAGGTGTTTAATTAGTTACATTGAAGCAAATTACAAGTGGGTAGTTCCAACGTGGGGGGGAGGGGGGCTGAGATTCTATAGCACTCCAGCGAGGCCCCCCTACTGTGTAGGAGTGGTATAGAAAACGCCTGTAGTCAGTCGGCTTCGATTCAGTATTCAGTCTACTTGATACTCACTTCCCGTGAATTTTGAACACCCCCTTAATATGAGAAATTCCTTGCAGTATTGCAAGTATTGGAGCACATGCAGTGTATTTGGCAGGGTCAATGTCAGGGAATATCGTATTGGGAGTGAGCTCAAGCTTCACGTGTTTCGTAATCATAGCGCGCAGTGTCTGGGGAAAGCGCCTGAGAGTTTCAACAAAGACGAACGAATCAAGACACCATGTCGCTTTCCCGCTCTGGATGACGGAAGTTGTTCAGTTCTTGCGCTGCACCGAAATCCCGCTTGCTGTGGAAACCTGAGAGTATGGGGATCAATCAACTGCTCAGCCCGTCCCTCAAACCCTGTTGCCATCCCATCATGATATGGATCCCTGCACAGATGGTCTGCCTGGGAAGAGGAATCAGGACCAAGTCGCATGTGAGGATTGCGACCCTCAACCTTAACCGTTGCATGAGGGGTGCAAACAGGCCAGCTGGACGCACAAGCGAATGCACGCACAGCGACACTGAAGCACCCGAAGTCCCGGTCGAAATGTCCTGTCGAGCGAAGGCCCGTATTAGGCCCCGCAAAAGGTACCTATAGTCGCAGCACTGCATCCATTCAGCCCTAAACTCTCTCGTTTGGGGTTGAGGGGTTGGCGTAATTGGCACGTACCGAAACCCTGAACCCTCAAGCTGCGTACTGCTAAGGAGATCGGACTTGAAGGCGACCTTGTAGCAGTTCCCCGCGAGGCTTGCCTTGTTAAAGACCTTCCAAATCAATCCCATTGAGGATTTAGGGTTTGAGGTTAAGGCCCCCCACCCTCCGACTTTTTAATCTGTAATAGTTGCGGCCATATTGCCACATACCACACGGGGACCAGTTTCATGAACTTCAGCACGAACTTTCATCCTCCCTTACTTAGAATCCCAACTGACGGCTCAGGGTCTGGGCCGGGCTAGAATCCGAAACCCCCCAGCCTTCATCAGTGGCAGCCTGTGGAGTTTAAGGCTCATGCGTCTTTTGGAGTTTGGGCTTTCGGCTTCAGATTTAAGGCTCCTGAGGCTGAGGGTCTTGCTGTACCTGCGTTCACGGGGGTGGAAGCTGGTTTAGGGTTTCGGGGCCGTAGCGATCTCAGGTGTGCAAGTTTGATGCTGTTGAAGACCACAGCTGTCGGTGGCTAGTGAAATTTAAAAAATTGTGTTTTGAGGTGTGGGGTGCCAACTACATTAATCCGGCTGCTGTATTACCTGTACCAACGCTGAGTTAAGCCACCTGACAGCAAAATTACGCAACTCTCAACCTTACATTAAATCCTCAACCCTAGACCATAAATCCTCAACCCTAAACCTTGAGGAAGAAAGCTGTCTCGTTGCCAACCCCGACAAGTGCTTCGCAGTGACAGCCCGCCGCAGCTATCTCACCAACGAGGACGTGTACCGGGCGACCAGCTTGAGTTACTGAGCACAGTTAGCTTGTTATATGCATAGCCCACATCAGACGGGTACATGACTCCACGTTGCAAACAAGCCTGCAACAAGTTGCTCATGTGCAACTATGTAAATGTACTTACTGACAGGCAATCCAGCACAGTGCAGGTTGTTGAGAATCTTCTCATGTCATCCCGCATTGTTTCCGTGATCCCTGTCAACAGTTAGGCACAGACACGGAACTGTTTTGAACCTCCCTTATAGACAGCTCCGTGAACTATGTATGCAGTCAAAAATGTAGGGGACTGGGCCCATGCATCTTCTAGCCAAAAAGCACCGAAACCCCAAGCTCTGCTGATTTTGTTTAAAGGCGGTTGGCAACCCCAGAGAGCTCTGATATGGGAAGGCCTTTGTCGTTTGTGTTAAGCCCTAGTTTTGCTCTATGCTTTCCCAGCTTTGCTGTATGCCACATGTTTCTGAATTGCGTGATGTTCAGCTGCCCTGAACAGGGCCTTATTGCTCTTGTCCTTGATTTTTGGGAAGTCCATACTTCAAATCGTGAGAATCTCGTCGGAGTCGTCAGCATGCCGTTTCTATTGTATGGGTTTCGATTATGCGGCCCACTAAGGGGTATGTGTATGTGTATTTATATTCCGAGTTCCCCAAACGGCGTGCTAACACAGGGGGGTTCTTGCTGTTCGGTGTAAAGAGAATTGATAGCGGGACCGGCCAGGCGCACGCGGAAACAGGGTTGCTCGGGATGCGGCTCCCGCGTTGGCGCGGTGTAGATTTTCTCCTCGCGTCCTATATTATTTACAGCGGATCGTCGGGGCCACGGGTCTACCGAGCAGACAAAATGCATCCTGGTCTCCTGCTGCTCTCCTGGGTTCTCCTGGGCTCTTTCAATGCTGAAACCATGCAACCATACTGCCATGACTGGATGCATTGCAAATGGATAATCACGAAGATTGTTGATGGGAGCCAAAGGCGTCGGAACCAGCACCGCCACCACTGGCTGGCCCCACCACCTCGACCACCCCCACCACTCCCACCACCACCCCCGCCGCGTAACTTCCGCATAACTTCTGCAATAAGCCGACGGCCTATGCAGAAGTACTTCAAGCACGATAATTATGCAGAGCTTATGCAGAAGTTAAGAGCTAAACTAGCGAACAACTTCTGCAATTATACAGAAGTTGCGTTTTGGACTTCTGCATGTAAGATGCATAGCCACAGAAGTTATGCGGAAGTTGTATGGTTATGCATCGGTGCGGGCCTGACTTTCATCGGAAGCGCATGTGTTGCAAAACGGCGCAGCTTCCGCCATAACTTCTGCATGAGGAGGCGGCTAAGAGTTGTAGGAAGCCGCCGAGTTTCGGCATCTAGGAAAATTACTTGTAGCACCCAGGGAGGGTCGCAAGTCACTGATTTGAATTCCTTCACTCTCTCTCGAATTCGGACCGGCGAGAGGGACGGGTAGGTATGGGCAATTTTTTCGCATGTTGGGTATGCAATACGTCAATACGTTTCCTTTAGAGCTTTCCTGCCGGCAAATCTGTGCTGATCGGTCTAGAGGGTTGTACACAGGGGTACATGGGGGTCGGGTGCGAAGGATGTTATCATGGCGAGGGGGGGGGTGGTATGGTGGGGCATGGGGTGAAGTGTGAGGCTTAAAATACAAAGACAAATCCGTGCACAGATTTTTGCTCAAACAACATGCTTTGTGATTTTGAATCTGGCTTTTTGGCTTTATCCTCTTGCTACCTGCAAAAACCTATGTTATCGGATAGTCGTCCCCACCCGCTGCCGAAACAATGCTCGCGACAATTAGTACTTCTGCTGGGCTCGCGAACATGTTAGCCGCAGAGCAGTGCCCTCCACCAACCTAGCCAGTTTTGCGTGAGATGGCCTACTTCTACCATTGGCTGCGTTGGCGCAGTGCGGATCCCATTAGTCATTAAAGAGATGAAAAACGATGGACGAAAGCATGGCACCATGAAGCTCCTGCAACAGGCTCTCTGCGTAGCTGTCGAATGAAACAAGCTGCAATTGTGTTTGCGATACATGGCATGACCATAGCTTAGACCATGAAGAAGGCCTGCGTGTGTTGCCGCCACAGTTTCGCAAGCGAAGTAGGATTGTAATGAGGAAATTATAACGAAACTGTTTCGAAGCGGAAAGTGTCTGGAGTCCCTAAAATCGATTTGTAGACAGTCACAGGGAAGAGGGGGGGTGTCTTCAATCCCGCGCCCGCCTCAAAGAACACCCAGGTTAAACCATCTTGGACAGTGTTGCTTACGTACACGTAGTTGACAAGTTGACAAGGATGCAGTTTGCCGACAACACACAATCGGAACGACCGTATGAACATGTGTTGTGTATCTATCGAAACATGTTATGTAAAGTTTTCAGCTGTGTTCTTCACATCGGGCATGCCATGCTTTGATTGTTCGGGGAATAGTGGGCTTCCTATGTGACGAGAACTCAAGAATTAAAATTAAAATCCTATTCAGCAGCCAAATCATAGCTATGGCGGGTTATCGTTCGCAGCCAATTGGAAACATTTCTCGCAAATCAAGCAGCTGATCAAATACGTTCTACCCCATTGCTTATTGTGTTGCATCATTCAACTATATCGGGAACCTACATGGCATGTAAAACCATCAACCCACGAAAGGGTGTTGATCTGTGCCGGCTGCAAAATGCTACTCAGCTCAAGGCGAAGCTCAACAAAAAATAAGCATATGTATTGGCCGGAGGAGCGCAATACGTACACAAGAACATGTTTTCAGGCAGATTGAACTAAGTGTTTCTTTCGTATGAACAAGACACTACATGTTGGACTGCCCTCTTTTTTACTTAACCATTTACGTCAGTGTACTCAAGAAAAACCACTTGATTAGCCAAAGCAGGCAAAGGCGATCAAGGCGAAGCTGTAAATGGGTCCTTGTCAAAAGTATGGTCCCCTTTTGGGTCCTTATTATACTTCGGCACCTAATATTTGGGGTACCCAAAAAGGGACCATAATTTTGAAAACCAGCCATATCTATTGTCCGAGACTGAGAATTCAGCATGCCTACATAAACTGTTTGAATGCAACCCGAAAACTTTGAGCGATACGCCGTTCAACATTCCAGCCTATCACCGCGTGCCGAATCACATACACTTTGTGTCCGTTTCATCTCATAATTACACGCGTCTTTGATGATTTCAGCTTCACAAACCGAAAACGGTAGATCCATGAGGGGGGAAGCATATATGTATATATGCATAGATGCAGTGCAGATGATAGCCAATCTTGGCGCAGCGGCGGCACGAAGTCAAAAGTCTTTCAGGGCATTGTTTGTACCGAAACAGATCGGTAAGCATGGCACTGTGAAAACGAGAAATGAAGATATATCGACTCTTACTGTACCACCAGAAGTACAAATATTTCTTACTGACATGCTATGTACCACAGCTACCGCATGTTGGTTTTGTTCAATTTGGGGGTTTTGAGGTTTAAGCGTCCCTGATATGCTACCTCCCCTCCGTATTTCACAGCAGCCGCAGTTGTCGGAAATCCGAACAACCTGAACCCTCGCAGCTGGACCTTTGAAACAACATTTATCCATGCTTATGGCTCAGGTGTACGAATACATGGTGGCAAGGGGATATTTCTCCTACACTGGCTAAAGACACCCCAAGTCCATCCGTCCATCCTTCCTTTCATTTGGTGCCTCATGGGCAGTCCGCAACCCTAAACTGAACTCAGGTTCGGCGCCATTCCGCTACTGGACGCTTCATGTACACTGTGACATTCATCTCATCCTTGGAGGCTCTTTGGGAATTTGAGGAAGCCCCCATACTGGGGTAAACAGCGAATAATGGGGTTCAAGGAAAGCTCAAGGTTTCCAAAAATTAGCGGCCCTTTCGGAGGAGGATCCTATTTGCTGAGATTTTCCTTCATTGCAAAGCGAAGCACGTCTCAGCAACCTTGGAGCTTACAGTATTTTGGAAACAGCTCAATCTTGAGGAAAACCTCATCATGTCCAAGTTGGCATCCATAGGATAGTGGCCTCAAGTATTTTAGAATTCAGAACATGGTATGCCGGCTAACCTTAGTGCAAACTCCGAACGAACCCCCGAACCCTGATGCTGATACTGCGGGCCGCAACTTGGTATGGGTTTAGGGTTTCGGTTTGGTATTTTGGTAGAGGTTAGGGAGCCACCAAAGCCGGTGTTCCAATGCAGACGCACGATAAGGCGCATCATCCAATTCTTTCCAGCCATGGGGCTCAATGGTGTCAACCAACCGCAACGGCTGACTATCAATGCCCTCGCAAGTCCTGATGAAAATTAGACTGGCCCTGAAAACCCTCAAGCACCAGGAAGTCGACTCCTGAGCCCCGAAAAAAGTCGCATCTCCCTGCTTGACGGCCCCGAAACAGCAGCACAAATCCTCGGTAATCTGATCTTGCCGACACCTTACACCCTTACCGCAAACCACAAGTCCGAAATCCCCTAAGACCCTTCCTTTGACATCTCGGCCGCCTGTGAGGTGGAGGAGCAGAATACTGTGCAAGGTCCCTTTGGCCGTGGTGTTTAGCTTTCAAGGTTGAGGGCCAAAAACATTCAACACCATCATCTTTCTGAAACTGAAAAAGCCCCGACATAGGATTATGCAGTTCGGAAACATATGCAGGGTTTCCCAAAGTTGCGGGCTGCCCTGCAAGGAAGTCAGAGGATAGAGTTTAGGGGTAGGGTAGCTAGACTAAGTGTATGCCCTGTTCCGAGGGGTGAGCCTTGTACACTCTACATAGATCTACCCATGTTAACATAACCGTCTATGACAACATTTTAAACTGGATTGGGTGAGGTTGCGGGTTAAAGACACTTCAGGTTTGCTGCTAGAGTTTGTATTATGGCTTTGGCATAGGAGGTCGCAGGGGTTGGGAGTGAATAAGGCTTGGATATAGAAACTGCTGTCATGACGGGTATGTTAATTGACATGGATATATGTACGTAAATTGTATAACATTCATTCACCCCGCGGAACGGGGCATACCCTTAGTCTAGCTAGGGTTGGTTTGTTTGCGTGCTTAACTTGCCTTCTGCTGCTCCTCTCCGCACTCCGCCAACAACGGGTATGCCTTACAACGCCAGTCCTGTTCTGGGAGCAGATGCGCAATTTCAGGGGTAATTTGAGTATTAGCAGAGCAGATGAAGTTTGAGGAGTGGAGCGGTGGTGCTGGTGCTATAGGAGTCTTTTTCGAGATTAATCTTCTGCTCCTCCAGTTAAGCACCGCCGTACAGATACCCCTAGAGCCCAAGCCCAAACATCCCTGCCTGCATCTGTGTTTAGCGAAGCTGGGAGGCCGAAATATCGTGTGCCGACTTCACATGAGTGGCAGCACAAATCACTGTTACTGGGCGATTCTGAAAGAAGGCTCTTAGGGCCGGTTAGGGTAGGATCCAAAACGTGCAACTCCGAAAATGAAACCATGTTGACATGGTGGAAACTGGGCTATATTACTGCAGCGGGGGGGGGGGGGGGGGTACGCAGCAAAGCCCAAATTGAGTAACCTATCTTGGTTAGCCCATGCCAGTGGATTGGTCTGAGGGATAGGGCAAGGTCTGGTGCCCACGGTTGAGGGAGTTCTTGGCTAGTGCAAAAGGCACCGCATTCTTGCGCGAGAGCTGAAGAGCACTATACTACTATGAATTTTCAGTCGCACGGCTTTCTTTTCAAGAGGCCTTAATTCGCTTGCAAACCCTTTGTTGCCTGTCTAGGTGACCAGCCTTATGCCAGAGTACCCCACCGTACTGGAAGCCTGTATCCTGTCCTGAACCCTTTTTTTATCCTCTACCCTGCTGATAGTGGGAACTCCCTAAGTTCTGCCAGGCCAGTAGGGATGTAGAAGCCCGCGTTTCTGCGAAAACCCCGCAAAGCTAACACAACCGGACTCCCCTGGCAAAGACTTAAAAGACCTCCGCCACTGTTGAATCTTCGATTGATTGCTTTTGGGTGTTTTTTGGGGGCCGTCGCTGTTGATGAAGCCTTACAGGGGAGTGGGCGTAGGCAACATCTTGAACTCATAGACTAGGTGTTGTAGAGCCGTGACTCCGTCGCACCAAGGTTGCCACAGGCATTCAGTCATGGCAATCAGCTGAGCGTCTCCTGTTGGGATGAGCGCTACTCGGGCATTTACGACAGCTCATCACGCTCCGGGACACTCCTGACCTGTGTCAACGGAAAGTGGCTCCTGGGCAGGTATCAAGAATGTGTTCTGGTTCAGGTGCGCTATCTCCTGAACTCCTGAGTGCGTAATAGCAGCTGCCAGATGGGAAGTGGGTCTAACATGGAAACCTATGTAGCCCGCTGTTGAAGGGGCTGGCTCTTTTTTTTTTTTCTTTGCTCCGAAAATACGAGTTGCCCATGCAGCATCCCGATCTTCCTGAGCTGTTTGACTCTTGGGCTCTATAGGGTTCGGGTTGGGCTTAGACGCGACCCTGACATTGTATAGCTTCACATAGGTGTTGACAACGCGCCTGCGCAGAGGACACGACAGACCCCAAGCAAGCCAAACTCGAAACCTACAAAAAAAAACCCAGAAGTAGCCCACATCCCCCCCGCAGAACGCCGACTAACCCTTTGAGCCCTACTGGTAAGGTTCAACGAGCAGAACGGACCTGGCCTGGGAAAGTTTGGTTGCCACAAGTGCGTCCAGGTTGGCTCCAGAGGCTTTGGCGAGGCCCTTTGGCTGTGGAGCCAAACGAAGGCGAAGAATCTGTTAGGGTTCAGGGATTTGAGGGTTTAGGCACTGTGGTGGCTTTGCGGTATACGTCGCTTTTCGAACCCGCAAATTTTTTGGCCTCAGCACGTGATCTGCGCGTGGTCAGATAAGAAGCCTTGGTCTTGCATTTGGCAGGAGTTGCGCCTCAAACCCCTAGGCCCTCTTGACATCCTATGCTTGGAAGCCGACTCCAACTGGGCGTTTAACCACCAGAGCCTTATTCAGCCCGAGGTCCACAAGCAGAACCTCCAGGAGATTTGGTTCTTCAAGCATCTGCCGTTGACACTTTGGACGGAGGCCTCTTCTGCCTGGGCCTCGGAGGAGGAATCTGGGAGCCTCTGTACTCCGAAGAGGTACCCAGTTAAAAGCCCAAGTTGATCCCTTATGGCCGTGACTACGTCAACTGAAAACCTTGTATCCCAGAGCGTTGACTCTATGTGGTTGATGCACATGTGCCAGCCTCCCTGTCCAAATTGGGATTTATGGAGTCTGTAGGACTTGGTTTTTGGAATATGTGATTTCAAAACCCACAGGGCTCGCTTCAGGATGGGAGTGTTGGGAATCCAGAAGTCTTGGGTTGGATTTTTGGAGACGTGACACTTCAAGCTCCCAAACGAAGACTCCTTCTTGAAACTCAAGCGCCTGATGAGTTCCGTAGCAAAGCTCCATGAAAGCGCCTCTGCATCTAATTCGTTTCTCTAGGTCTCCCCTGATTGAAGATGGTACAGGTGTAGGATTGCTTTATATAGGTCCTTGCAATATGATGTCATGCTAGGCCGGATTGTTATAAACTTGGGGAAGCAAGTATCTGATCCTCTCATTATTAAGGTTTTGTTGTCTCTGTGTTTGTGTGCTGTGTCATCAACCTGTCAGACAAACGGAAGGAGGCTCCAACTTAAGAGACACACAGCTAGCGCAGGTCTCGACGTTGGTCTTAGGGTGTTGCCGAATGAATGTATGTATGCATGTATGTATATTAAGAAATGGGGCTTTCTCCTTGGAGGGTGAGTCGAGGACCCGAACGAGGAGGCCCCTAGAGCCGCAAGGTCTCATATCCAGCACTCTCCTGGTCTTCAGGAGGCCCATACAGCTTCTCATATATCGAAGCCATTTAGATGCACTCCATGATCCCAGTTTCCGTGTCCATTTCATTTATGCTGCAAGCGATTCAGGCCGTTAAGAGTTGAAATCCTAAATCCTTACACGCCCTACCTAAAACTCAAATCCTGAACCCTTCCTATAGCGTAACCCTAAATCTCAAATTCCTGAACCTTAAGCGCGATGCCCTGAACCCCCGAGTCCCCGAGCATGAAGCCCAGTTGAGGCGCATTGCCTGCAGTTCGGCGACGCTGACAATGAATTAGTGCTGAATCAGGTGGAGCTTTTGTGAAAGGGAGGTTGGATGGTCATCTGAGATCCTACAAGCGCCAGCCATGGCATAGGTTTCAGCACGCGGCACGAGAGTTGTCTTGCTCGCATGGTGGCTTGAAATAGTGGATGCGGTAGGTGCTGCGAAGGTAGACCGTAGCTTTCTTACAGCTCATTTTCGCTGGACTTCAGGGTGCATTGCTACGGTCACAATCCCGAAACACAAAGAAGTGCTCCCAATCTGTTGTAATCTCTTACATTGCTCATATTCATCATTAGGAGGTGACAGGGCTATCTGGGCAAAAGGGATTACATTCAATGATCTCTTTGCAGATTGCTTGCGCGACTTGGGAATCTTGGGGTTGCAGTTCTTACAGCCAGAACATAACACCAAAGCCCCACACCCCACCCCTCAGTCCTGACTAGAGGTATGGTTGAGACAGTGGGTGCTTTCCATGGTAATGTGGCGGTGTATTTAGGAATATGGGCTTCTTTAATGCGTTTTTTTTGTGCTACTTCATACCGGCACCAAAAATTTGGGCGGTGCATTTTTTGGGGGGTGGGGCTCTGCTGTCTGCTGATGGTCAATCTTAAGGCAGCCACGACCTAAACCCCCACCCAAACCCTAAAACCCTGGCCCTGAAGCCCGAACATCTCTTGCAGAATTGTTTCGCTTATTGGGGCGTCAGGAATGGAATTTTTTGCAGAATTGGTACTGTACTACTGATGTACTACTATTGCACTGCTACTGTATGCTTGCTTATTGGGGGGGCTGCTGGAGTGAACCGCCGAATCGGGAATTGGACCCTTTCTCAAAAGAGGCATCTCCAGTACTAAAACTTGTATAAACATTCAATTTCGGATCGAATCTGGAGGGACCCCCCTTTGTGAAGGGTTTAGGGTTTAGGGTTTGTTAGGCTACTATTGTACTACTGTTGTACTACTGTATCATTATTGTTCCGCACCAGGCCTCAGACGTGGTCGATTGTGAAGGGGAGGGAGTGTAGGTTGGAGGCAAAAATGTTCAAATTAGTCTTGGTAGTTATCTTGGAGTGATCGGGGCTTGGTTTCCAGCATTGGGTGATCCCCAGACCCCCCCGACCGCGCAGAACCGCAGACCCTGCACGCAAGCCAGCCCCCAAACCTCGGCACCTCCCGATTCCCTGCCTCTCAGACCCCTGACCCCGGACAGGGGTCACCGGTTCCAGATTAATTAAACCAAAGCTTTTTGGTCGGGGGGGGGGGCACGTCCATTCTTCGCACCGCCACATTCGCAGGAAAGGATTGATTCCCTGCCGAAGCGCTCTTCGAACCCATCGGAAATATCAATCTACACAAATGGCTTGTAGTTGAAAAGGGGTGCATCTGTTGCGCAGCACCGTGCCCAAGTAGGATGAGCAGGCCCTCTGTTCACAAAATGTGAAGTTCGAGTTCATGGGCAACACGCTCTCCAGCAACCGCGTGGTGATACTCGGCTGCAGCAGGGCGAAGGAAGAGAGATGGGGTGCTATGACCCGACAGGTGTCTTGAGGAGCGGGGAGGGGTATACATACATTGCTGCTGCCACAGTCATCGTCCACTAGCATTCGTTTTGATACTGTTACGGCCTTGATTATGACATGATTGCTTTGATGGGTGAAACCTAAACCTAAACCCTAAACCCGCGGAAATCAGGAAATTGCTTGAGGGCGACAACCAGTGCATGGAGTCGGTGACCGTCGACGGACTCCCGGTACCAGTGCCCCGAGCGGATTGGTTTAGGGTTACCCTGCCATAAACCGTGACCCCGCGCTTCGCCGAATTCAGGCTTCGGTTGTCCCATGCCGTGGGGAAGGTATGTGCCTCAGATTTCACAATCCGTACCTCACCTCAGGCAGCCTGAGGCTCTCAGAGGCTGCCTCGGACTCCTCTCCTTTCCCTCACCACCTATACCTATACTTCCCCCTAATGAGTGGGCCACATGAAGTCCCAGACCGGGTTCGGTTTTTCGGGCCAATAAAGCTCAAATGTGTGCGCGTCAGGGAGTCAGAATCCATGTATAGTCTGATGGCACCAGAAAGTAACCGTCTTCATTCCTTCTCTCCTTCACAAGTCTTTTGCTGTTCTGTCTTGTTGTAGAGTCAGCACGCATTCCATCTATCTCAAAACCGATGCTGCGCTTTTTGAGGTTCACAAGACGTGCAATGCCTCCGAGCCGGCCCAGCAAATCCCTGCGGATGATCTGACCAACATGTTGTGGAATCTCCATACCACGCGCTTCAACAAGGCATGGGTTCGTGTTGTGAAAGGGGCCTTGAAGCGGGGATACTTTGGAAGGTGGGCCATCTTGCGATTCTGGGCGAGCTTAGCGGTTTGAGGGTCAACAGGAATCACGTATGCGCACATGTACATACATTAACGCTCATACACTCAAAAACCTAATTACACAGGTACCTACAGCCTACTGCTATGGCATCAAAACCTGAGAACAATCGATCATCTGAAGGCTTTCTCACATCACAGTAAAGCTACCTGTTCCGCGCTCGTCGTAAATTGCACGGGTATGCATGCATTCGTATATATTTACGTATGTAGGGCTCAGAAGACCGTGTGCGGACTGCTGTAGCCAGTGCACCCCACACGAGGGTGCCCGATGCGGCACCCGACAAAGGACCCTTGAACAAGAGACCCGCGGACCATTCCAAGGGCAAAGGTTCTGGGCTCGTAGACTATATTGGTTCAAACACCAAGCAACATCACTCGCCTCCCCTTTGAAAGATGCCCTCCTGACCCCAAGTCCACTCATGACAGCAGCTTTAGAAGAAGCTCGGGGGCTCCAGCTCGGGGCTTTTTTTAAAGGTCTAGTCTCCAACATCCTCCTTTCTCCGAGGTGAGCCGGGCTTTCTCGCCGGGATCCATTAACTGCGGCGGCTCTGGCGGGGGTGCCGTTGGCCAGGCCCGGCCCGGCCCGCAAAAAAGGAAGCAAAAGGGAAGGGGTCCCGAACGGTCTCGAAGGCTCTGGGGGGTCCTATCGTACGGAGACGTAACACGGTTCCGCGGCGCTTTCGACCTTCGTGAGGGTTATACAATGCCGGGGTCCATTCCATGGAGTCCCCGCTTAGAGTCTCTTCAGTCTCGGCAGGGCAAGGCCCAACTAGAAACAGCTTCGGCGTCCTTTGCAGCTTAGCCGTCAGCTATTGTCACATACAGAATACAGGCCACAGAGCCCAGACAGCGCTTCATCCTGTCATTTTCAATTCTGTTTCAATACTTTCTGACTGGGAACATGATCCGGGAAGATGGAAGTATGAAGTTCCAAAGCCACTCAGATTTCCAAACAAATCAAAACAGCAAAAACGCATGTCCATGTCTTTGGGTTTCTGCCACTCCCATGTTGGGCTCTGCCCAGGACACAGCAACAATCTAAGAGAAGATGTAGTGTCCTAAGTATTTTTGAGTCATTATTCAATTATATTGAAGTGTTTTGAACCGTTTTTTTGTAGAATATGCGAGGAGGTTGTTGCTGCAATGCTACAAAAGATAATCTGTAACCTAGAAGAGAAATTGATGGGTCTCGGGTGATCTCCTGTGTACTCGCCGGTACCCGAGCATTTACAGGTGCAGGAGTCGAGATGCTGCGGGAGCCGTTCTTAGAGCCCTGACCCTTGGGTTTCAACCACGGCTTCAGGCTTGGTGTTTTAGATGATTGTGTTGTTCGTTGCGGGTTCTGCAGGCGCCGATTTGGGGTTTCTAGGGCTGAAACGTCTCAAATCAGCTGACTGATGATATTCAATCTTTTGGATGGATTTGGCTGTGATAGTTTATGAAAAGAAACAGAGTGTTCTCACTCGATTCAATCATCCAAAACACTTCTCGCAATTTCCGTTTACACTCCCCCAGCTTCTGTCTCATTTGGGGTTCGTGTTGGTAAGATCTACAAACCACAGCCCGGACAGGTGTCCATGAGGCAACTCTTCCAAGAAGACAGGCAGCTGGGCTTATCATCTTGGGTGCGGGGTTTAGGGCTTAGGGTTTGGGAATCCAGCTTTGAGACTAATCCTCAAGGCATATGGGGTTATAGGGTTTAGGGTTCAGGGGTTGTTTGGGCGGTCTCACTGCCAGTCATAACTACACACGAGTAGGGGCCAGGGTTCATTGTCCTCGAATCCGTTGGACATTTGGGGAGAGGTTTCTGGGGCCTCGGTCTTGTTGGAGTAATTCGGGCCGTTTGCGGTTCAGGGTTCAGGGTTGGGTGTTGGGCAGCCCCGGTATAAGACTTCAATTTCGAGCTTCAGGGCAGTCCACAGAAGATAGGCTTCAGTCTTTCTGCTTATACCTCCCGAATCGCCGAAGCCTGAAGACAAAAAGCCAGAGCTCAGTTTTCAAACAATGGCACAAGAGATAATGGTGATCACTTGGGTCCTACTGCCGAGTCTACCACTGTCGCCGGCTGAAGGGGTCCACCAAACTGATTCCGGGATGATTTAAACCAGCTCAAGTCTAAACTCTAAAGGCTCAACCTGAAATCCTAAACCCCGACCTAGGATTGCCAGCGTAATGGGGGTCGTCGATTTGAACGTTGACGAAGAGTGGACTGCACGCGGCCCAGGCCGGTACCTTTCTCTTTTAGGTAAAAAAGGGTCCACGGTTCCGGGGGCCAAGGCTGTTTCAGGTTTGGGTTAGCCGCTTTCAGGTTTGAGGTTCAGGGCCTTCAGGGTTGAGGCTTTGGGGTGCTTTTCAGGTCTAGGGTTTCCGGTTCAAGCTCTTCTAGGCTGAGAGTTTACAATCAAGCAAGAACACACCTCGAAGCATAGTGCTGCTCGGGAGTTGCTTTTCATTTGTACAAACCAATCTTCTCCGCCATGAGCCCAGAGTGTTGTCATGACGGACTAACGATATCTTCTGGGTGCGGTATGTCGGCTGATGCCATACGAGCCTGGATGTTAACAATGTATGGCTGATAGAGAGACGGAGGGATAGAGAGAGAGAGAGAGAAAAAAAACAAGGAGGTTGGGACAAAAGAACTCCGATCTTGTTGTTGTAACTCGCAAGACAGGTAATTGGGAGCAGGTGGCGTCAGGCATGGAGCTCCGTTATCCGTCCCTTTGCTGCACTTGGTGTGGGCGCCTGTCTGTGGGGCCCGGCAAAAAATCCTAGATTTTCTCTGGAACAGGTTTCGTTTAGTACAGAGCAGAATCTATAATTTATAGCAAGGTTCCACGGTGAGGTTGTCTTCCCTTTCCAAAAGAACTCACCCTTGCGGTCGTTCGCATACTCAGTTATATGAGGCTTCATACGTTTCCTTTAGTCTTAGCGTCATTCGCCTTGATGACTCACTTGATGGTCTTGTGCGGTGCTTGCTGTTGCTTGTGTGAATGTGGTTATGCTCGCTTCTGTTTTTCACTGTTGTGCATGCGCAGAACATGAGCACATGGTGTTGCAGTTGCTGGAAGCTTTCGAATTGGATGCTGCAGCCGAGGTATCCTGAAGCGCAGCTGATGCGAGCATGCATCAGCTTTACGGACCCCAATCTTCAGTTGAGCCATCCTCAAATTCCTCAAAGGGACGATCACGGGGCATATAGGGTTCGTGAGTTTACTGCCCTGACATAGAGTCATAGAGGTCAGAGCCCCTCGATGCCGACTGCAATTTTACAGTCGGCATTCAAAACGTGTACCCTTCTCGGTACATCGTGCGGATCACACTCTTTGTCGCAGCACCTTCTTCAGAACTGCAGTCTAGTGAATAAAATGTCAAGCGATGACTTTGTAGGCAGCGCCGCAGCAAAACACTTGCTTGCACTCTGCATACGCCCTGCAGTTAAGGTTTTAGTGCAAGTAGTTTTTACCTCCGTGAGGTCTGGCGAGCTGATTCCATGCTGTCATGCCAGAATACGCCAAGACACACCCCTTTCTGGCGCTTAATGGGGCATTGGGGGAGATTACATACGGGCAGCATAGTGGGCATTCACTCCCCCACTCACCCTCCAGCACCAGAAAGACCCCTTAATTTGCAATTGAGTTCAAGCTTGGGACCTGGAACTCCGGTAAATCCTAAACCCCATAAATCCTGCAATCATTCTGCAGTTTGGTCGCGAAGGATGATATCAACGCTCCGCCATTTACGGGCTTGCAAATCCAGCTCTCCAAAGCCGGAAGGGCGACTCAGCCAAAAGTTTAGGGTGCCATCCAGCCTTCAGTCTTAACAAGATTTGGAGGCAGACGAATGACACTTTCACGGGGGGAGGGGTGAAAGTTTAGTCTGGCACAGTGTTAATGAATAACAACCTGCATGCCCCTCAGCCCTAAACCCTCATTAATCACTCAAGAAACTTGTTTCGGAAAATTTGGTAGCATGGTGTGTGCTTACCTCGTTAGAAGGGTTTCGTCCATGGAAGAAGCACAAAGGGATCCAACTCGAGACCTGATAGTCTGATAGGGCTTCGGGATCATGCTTGCCGGACTACGCAATGGGGAACAATTTTTGAACATTACCAAATGCTGTTTGGCAATTTTGAGGATAAATGTCACCTGTTGTTTCGAAAAAGGCAAACGATAAGCTTACATTCCTCCTACAAGCCTTCTAGAAGCCCAGGTTGAGGGCTTTTAGGTTTTAGGTTTTTGGCTTAGGCTAAGGGTTCAGAGCTTGTAGAATTTCGAGCTTGAGTGTTTAGGGCTATGGCTTCCACAAGCATCGTCCCGTAAGGCTTTTACCTTCCAGGAGTGGTAAAGAAGGTGGGAGAGTATTCTCTAGCCGCCGTCATGGTCAACAGTGTCCGTAGGCATGCCACATTCGCATGCGATCCCTCGCAGCTAAACGTCTGGATGATATGCTTGCTTACTTAGATGTTGCATTAGTGTTGCCGTTTCTGCGTCGGTGCTCCTGAATCTCGAGGCTGGCGCGCTGTCCAAGTTTTCACAATCGGTGCAACATGTACGCACGCAACATAGACAGGAGGCATGATACTTATGTTGATGTTTCAGAAGACTGCCAGTTTGTTTGCCAAACGAAACCTGGAGATTTTCTCTGGCTTCGCTTTGCGCATGTCATCTTCTGCCGAACTGTCAAGAGAGTTGTTGAGAGTTCGCTCCGCTATCACTACACATGTCGTGTTCAGCCCGACTTTCGACGACTACCATCTTGCAGCCTCCCTGGCCAAAGCTGTTGCAATCAAGAAAGATGCAACCCACGGTGGCTACTCCTCCATCTCCGCCAGCAAAATGATAAACAAAAAACACAGGATTGTCTTCCTTTGCTGCTGTACATTATGCCAGCATTGGCCAGCCTAAATCCGAAACAGCTGGTGAAAGAACACGCCGTCGTCCAAGTGCTACACATAACAGCGGTTAGGCCACCTGTAGCGGATCAACCGCGGCAGCTTCCACAGCTTTTGCTGTGCTGGAGGAGGAAAAGGAGCTTGCCCCTGCCGAAGGAGGAAGTTTTATAGACAATGTGCGTCGTCTGGGGTGGCCGGGGTAGACATTGGGTGGGTGGGCTGGGGGCAGGTGATAAAAGAAAGAACAGAGAAGGTCAACTTGTCGAGGGCTTTCGCGAGTCGTTTTTGCCTGGTTTCGTTCTGGATGGAAACGAGCGCGCTAGAAGCAATGGAGAAGACAAAGACATACACCATAAAAAAGATGCAATAGCTGTGACAATAGCTGCCGGAGCCGCATTTTGCAGGTGATTGTAGTAGGCTTATGTAGAACCTAAAGGTTGAAGCGGCAGGGGGGCTGGAAACTTTCGACATGGGCCTTTACCGTGAGACCCTGCAGAATGCAAATGTGAGCGTTGCTGAAGGCTGAGCACACCCTCTTTGATACTCAAAGGCTTGGGGTCTAGGGCTTAGAGACCCTAAGCCCTGAACGTCAGCACAAGACAGCTGCAAACAAATCCCGCAACCAGCCTTGACTGTGCCAGGCGGACCCGCTTCTGGACGACAATTTTGGCTCCACCTTCTCGGCGGGAGGATTGTTCCGAAACCTGCGCCCAAGCTTGATTAGATTAGAGATTGGGTCTCTTGGGAATCCTAAGCACTGAAACCTTTCAGGGTTAAGGACTGAAAAACTTCCAAAGCCTTCAACATTTAGTTGGAATCGGCACGTCACTTGAAACATACAGGGGCTTTCGTAGGGATTGCCCGCAGTACGCAGGAGTAACATGCTGGAGCCAAATCTACTCAAGGCCACTACAATCTACAACTAACACCTTACACACCCTCTCTCTCTCGCTTCTCTCTCTTCTCTCTGTCTCTCTCTCTCTCTCTCTCTCCCTCTCTCTCTCTCTCTCTCTCTCTCTCTCTCTCTCTCTCTCTCTCTCTCTCTCTCTCTCTCTCTCTCTCTCTCTCTCTCTCTCTCTCTATGTCTATATATGTATATATGTATATATATATATATATATATATATATACACTAGCTTCTGCTTGGCAGAGAGCGAAAGCGCAAAGTACTTAATATAGTAAAATAAGCAGTTAGTTCTATAACAACTGATATGTGAGAGATGGAGTGGGAGTTGAGAGTGAACATAGAGTGAGAGTGGGCTGAGAGATGAGAGATAGAGTCTGGTAGAGTCAGAGTGAAGTGACTTGACCGTCCCCGTACCAATTAGGCTTCCTCCCACCTTGAATCCCAAACACCGCAAACCCCCAACTCCCAGACCTTAAACCCCAAACCAAAACCCGACACCAACCCCATCCCAAACCGGAAAGCACCAGAGTGATCAGCCTGATCAGCCGACGACCAGACGAGGCAGAGCGGTTGTCATCATGTCATGAGAAGAAATAATGAAGAAAGCAAGGGTGAGAGCTACAGTTGCCAGTAAGGGTCATGTCGGATACAAGGATATTAAGGATATCAAACAAACCTGGGTGAGAGCAAAAGAGCTTGGCAACGCCCAGAAGCAAAAGCTAGTCAGCTAGTATTTATAGATATATGCAGTATTTACACACGCACACACAGTCACACACACACACAGAGACAGAAACGCGCACACACACACACACACACACACACACACGCACGGACTTAAGTCTTTGTAGGCCAACATCGGAGAACTGGTAATCTAGGGAGTCGTGGCTCGCCAGGGTTCATGTAGATGTGGATCTAGAACGCGTCGTGGATGAGGGTGGTGTAGAATAGGGATAGGTTACCATGATTGGTTACCATGAATGGTGGTGGGTCATGAAGATGGTTACCATGGTTGATAGTCGAAAACTGGCTTCATGCGGACATGTACAATCTTGCATAATTTCGTTCCGACCCTACACCCCAGAACTCAAAACCCAAACCCACCGCTCAACCCTGTTCTTCGCGGCCAAGGTGCGGACCGTGGCGGCTTGTCCAGCCTGGCGGGACTTGCAGCGGCACAAACCCCTGCAAGGCCAAGGGTTTAGCATGTGAGGATCCATGGAAAGTGTCTTTTGAAAGCCCGAGCCCACCCTCCTATGGGATCTGAGCCCCAAGAGGCATCCCCTAAACTCTGCTTCCCTTCTAAGCGTCTGACCTAGTTGGTCTAAGCCCCGATAAGCGAGTTTTCTTGGCTGGTGCTGCGGCGACAGCGACAGTGGGCTAACGACAAGTAAAGCATCAACAGATTTGCCGGATATCATTTCTCGTTTCCCATCATCCTGTATTCCTGATATATTCAGCGAAAATGCTGCTTCGTACTGGGGTTCCGAATCCCCTAGAGAAATTATTGGGGGTGATGAGGGGATAACATTCCTGTTTGTTGGGACATCGGTCTCTCGCAGATCTTGGCGACGCACCGCAACGGAGTGCGTGTGTCGCGGTGAGGTTTAGATTGGTTTCGCGGAAGGCCTAGGGTGTTTAGGGGTTTGGGCCCCACTTCCTGGGCCGTTCCGAATGAGGGGTGCAGACTACGATCCGGCTTGGGGCTTTCCATTTCCCCTAAACCCCGGCTGTTTAGCCTAACCACCTCCAGCCCTCATATCTTTTCAAGGTGCCCCTCCCCCTAATAATCGACGCCAACCACTCCCTGAAAATCGATATTCCGACGCTAAACAACAGGGTTATTTCTTATCAGAAGGGTTGGAGGGGCGGTTTGATCACACAAGACGTAGGATTGCAGACAGTGATAAGTAATTACGGCAAGGTTTGAGTACGAGCAAAGCACGAGTCGGGAAAAGGAAGCCACGAGTCAAGAAGAAGGTCGCTCTAAGCAAACCGCCCGTGGAGCTAGAAAGAGATGTTACAACCACCTTGCCGCTAAGACCAACTGTAGCCTCGCTTCGCGACCCAGGGAACGCAGCCACAAAGAGAAAGTCCAGTAGGGACATATGAGCACTGACTAGATGTTTCTACTCCACGAATTTTACCAATTTGTGAGGACTGTAATCATACCCGATATGGCGAATCTGTCATGACCCTCAGGGATAAACCTTCCCGTTTCGCTTTGCCCGCCACCTGTCAAGGTGCATGCTGACAAGCTGCATGGACCCGTCGATACAGCCCCCCCCCCAATGTAGCGCAACCCCCTCACAGTGTTCGAAAGACCCGAATGTCGGAAGGCCCCACATGCATTCAGCAATTCTTTGCTCCAGTCCAGAGCACAAGGTTCCCGTTTGCTGCCGAGTCACACTTTCCGTGTTTGGACTCTTTTTCGCAGCTCACGCCTCGTCTTTTCTTGATGCCACAACCTTGACCGGGTAGGGTGTATAGGGCTGGGGTTTAGGGTTCAGAGTTTGGGGGTTGAGTGGTTGAGCGGTTTCGAGAGACCCCAAACCCTACAGCCTGAACCAGCCCAGAACCCAGCCCTAGGCAGGTACGAATTAGGGCTTGGGCTTTAGGGTTCGGGAGAACAACGTTCGGGAAAACCGAAGCTCTAAAGACCCAAGGTACACCTCAAACGCTACGTGTTGGAGTATGCGAGAACAACTCCATTAGAAAGAACCGGGACCCTTGGCTGTTGAACGGTTTCGGGATCATGTCGTGCTGAGGGGTGTCGTGAGGTCATGTCGTATCCCAAGAAACGAGCCCGGCTTGTCGGTTTGACTCTACAGCTTGGTTCGGGTTTTAACCCTACAACAACCACTCCCACGCGAACTGCGCGGCCAACCCTCAGCTAGCATCGCAGTGTCAGTGGAACCTTTCCAGGCATACCCTGAACCCTTACAAGGCTTCCTTCTGCGCTGTTCATCCCAAAAGGCTTGGCTCTCAAAAACTCCCAAATCCCCAACCGGCCCAGTATTCAGAGTTCAGGGTCAGATTGATTTTGAACGTGAACCCTAAAGCCTCTTCAGGGTTCAGGCTCAGGATCATCAGATCTGCACCTCACGAGACTTCCCGAGTTGGCCGTAGCTTTTGTCCGTAAGTTCCTGAGGTCAGAGTCTCATGTTGCGTTCTGTGCCAGGATACGGGCGTACAAGACTATATTTATCTGCGGGGTGGTTCGTAGGTCCTCGAGGATGTTTAAGGATCATCATAGGGCATTGCTGCAGGAGCATAGCATGTAACATAAGCTGTGCCGTGGGCATCTCCCCCACACTCAGTGACAGCTGCTCATATGAGTTACAGTGTAAGTTCTGCCCCCTACATCCCCCCAAAAAAGCCCCAGGGCGCCCTGGGTAGCTCAACAAAGAGTTTCCCAATTATGGGCAGTCTCAGGCCGCCCCTACCCACAATGAGAGCTATAGCCCAGCAGGTGACTTGAAGTACTGCCTCCTGTCATCCTCTAAGACTTCCGTACCATCTACAAAGTGTAACAGCTGGAACCCCAAAATCCCATTCCGGTTACCAAAACCCCCCCTCAAGCTCAGGACCTATCTTGGCCGGATGTTATTTGTGGAGAATTACAGGGGCTCCGGAAGTGGCTCTCGCTTTTTTGAGCGTCCTCCTGGTGCCTATACTCTAGTCAAGTCTTGTGGGTTTGTGTTGAGGGTTCAGGGCCAAAGTTTGGAGATTACAGTTTAGGGTTTAAAGGAAAACATTCTTTGTTTTAAATATATCGGCGGTATCGGCTTTCGGCTTCGGGATTAGGGGTTCGCTTTGACTCTTGAATCCAATTCCTGAGCACGTCAGCTTTATGGCTTTGGGATGCTTTGGGGTTTAGAGTTATTTAGCCCTAAGACCAGCTCGGCCCGCGCGAGTGCCAGGCGCCGCTTGGATGAGATTTCAGGTTGCGTCTGGGGACACTGAGTTCTGGCCCAATACGACGCGTTTTGAAGGCTTCTCGTCTGCGGCTTGTGAGTTCGGGTCAGCGTGCGCACATAGACCCGGACGGACAACGAAGCTGCGGTGTTTCCGAGGAGAGGCAACTCACTTTCGTGTGTGTATGCTTTGGTGGGACGCCGGGCACGCACTTCAATTTACCTGTATTGCACCGAACTAGCGTTGACAACCTAGCAGATGGTAGAGGAGACGAATGTGGTTTGATAAAACCCTAAACGTGAGTCGAAGAAAGCCCAAGCCTGCAGCTGGTGCCCAGGACTATGGAGGTTCTAGTGATATCGTGGGCATGCAGATCAGACGGGCGGGCGCAGGTTGGGATTGGTATAGGGTCGAGGGCACATAGATTCCTGTCCAGTTAGGGTTGGCAAGTTGAATTGCACAAGGCCCCACACTCGTCAACGCAACTCAGAGAGTGGTGAAGAGACAGAGCCTGTTTCTGGAAGGCAAAACGGTTGGAATTGAAGGCTATAATCACGAGACATGTTTGTATCACAGCACACATACACACACTCACGCAGATAGATGGGCAGATATTATATATATATATATGTATACATACATATATATATATATATATACATACGCTACCCCTCCCTCCAGGACCTACCTTTCGACCTTGTTGTGCGTTGTTGGGTGTAGATATTCGTCGTGCGCCATGAGTGTGCCAGTAAGTTTTTGTCTCCTACATTGACGAGATGCGTCATAGTTGTGCCAGTACAATATGTGTCGCCTACGTTGCAGAGAGTGCTATGGACTTAAGCTGCAGTTGGGGAGACTTTGCTACTATCTTGTCGGCTCTCTAACCCCAATGTTAGCCTAGTGCAAGCCTTGGGAGCAACGCGGTAGATATACCCATGAAATTTCTCTTCGCGTCCATATGGGTGTTTGTAATTAGGCTAACATTGGGATCGCAATTCCAGTAAGCATTGGGGTTCGGTTGTAAGGGATACATTAGCGCTTGCTGCAAAGTAAATGATAAGGCATCAATTTTCGGACTCAGGTTTTCATATCAGAGTAAACATCAATGTTAAGGTTACAATCTTCGGACTAAGGTTTTCATATCAGGGTAATCATCAATGTTAGTCTTGGTGTTGAATCTCAGGATAGTCCTAGGGCTATTATACAGGCAAGAAAAGATCAGAGTCACCATTGGGACCAATATCATGGCTAACACCACGGTTATTGTTGCGGCTGATTCCAGGAGACTCCCCCAAAAAACTCCGCGGCAGATTTCCAGTTTAAGGTTTGAAGCCAGCAACAATGGCATGTTCCAAGTCTAGGGTTTTGAAGAGAAAACTCCCCAGAAGAAACTCCCAGGGGACTCCGGAAACTACCGAAATGCCGACATGGCCGGAATGATTGCTACGGCACGGTACGTAGGGGCCTGAGCGAACAGATCCTGCGGGATACGTTTTGGCAAGTGCGATTCGAGCTGAATCGGCCCGAGTCAACTTGAATCATGCCCTGGGTTGAATGAAGGTTGCAGATCCGTGGAGAAACTATTCCAGGGATCTTCAATCGTCAATCCGGCCCTCGATTTAACTTGAATCTGTCCGATTCAAGTTAAATCAGTCCCGATGTTTCACATCATGATCCCTATTTGCATTTAGCATGATTAACATACAGTACGGTTATTGCCTCAAAGTTATTGCCTATTGAAAAACTCAAGGTTCTGTTTGTATAGTTAAGGCTTATGATGCACCTCCCCACCCCCAGAACCTGTGCAGCAACCACTACAACTTCAGGCTTGTAGTACTAAATAAAGGTAAAAGGGAAGGTCCCGGAGGGGGGCACCATATATATATATATATATATACACACACACATATACATACATATGTGCGACCCCCTTTAAAAGACCAAGATTTTCAGGCAAGGTCGATATACCTGTGGCTATGTGCATCTGTGATTCCATATCTATGTTTATTGTTCGCAAATGTATTTCAATATAAGTTGCTGATACATGTACAAAGCACTCAGTTGTGAAAGTTGCAGTCACATACCGTTGTATTGCGAGCTCAAAACCCTGCAATTTGGGGCTTAGGGCAACCTGTTACTCAAGAAGTATGCCAAGCGTGCGCGCAATTTGCCATGATTTGAGACATGTTCTTTGATGCAAAGGTAACGGAAGTTTTGGGAACTTCGGTACATAGAGAACTTTCGACTTCCGATAGGCCTGCCGCAAAGGCTTGAGCGAAATGCTTTACCGTAATACCCCCGAAACCCTCTAGCCCTACACTGGTCCAACGTTGGCAAACTCGGAGCTACAGGAGCTGCCTTTGTCCTGATGCAGGTTCTTTCTGGCAACACAACTTCGTTTCCTCCAGAGCAAGAACTACTTACGACTGCAGCCCCTGGTCTGCTGACATCGGCAGGCTCGCAGAATGTGGCCAAAGACTTTCGGCGGCAGCTAGAAGAAGTCTACTCTAACGTGTCGGCGACTCCAGGGTGCCGGAGGCTCCGGAGGGCTTTTTTGAAGGCTCCGGAGGGCTTTTTTGAAAACCCTGGGAGCAGAAGCTTTTGTAGCGGTTCAAGTAGAGGCGGGTTTTCACAAGTATTTGACGACCACTTGCACACTAGCACAACAACAACAGCAACAGCAACTACAACTGCAACTGCAACTGCAGCTGCAGCAACATTTCATTCCCACGCAGCGGGAGAGAGATGTCTGTGTGAAACTGGGTAATCCTCGCTTTGCGAGTGTATGACCTAGTGCTCTGAATGAGTCGCCGTCATTTACGCGGTTTGAATGTTCTTCGCTGCTGGTCGTGCCTCAGCACTGCACCTGCATGCGTTTCGCCCCTCAGGGCTGCAAACTGCGAAGCTGTGGAATGAGGGATGGCATCATCTGATACCTTGAGCACGTGACAAGCTGGATTCATTTGCCGATTTCAAGTGGTGCACCGGAGGCAGGCCTCTGCTTGGTTGCTCAGCGTGGTCACATGCCAGGAATGCATTCAATGTCACTGCGAGCTACGAAAGGAAGTTTTTGATCCGCTGCCGCTGACTTGACCTTGTCTAGACCCTCTGAGAAGGATCTGTTCGTACAACTAGCTCAGCATTGAAGAAGAGACGATGTGGCAAGGAGACCCTCAGAAGTGGTAGTCCCACACTTAGTCGCAGTAGTACTACTGCTACTATTGATACTGAAACTATTTCTCCTTCTTCTACTTGTCATCTTCTCAGGCAGATCCTTGTGCCGTGTCTTCCGCTACACTTCCAACGAGTTCACCACGCACATCTACAAGCTCCACATGGAGCTGACTGGCTGCAGTCAGCATTCGGGAGTCTGAAAATAATGGGCCCCTGTCTTAAAGGTCCTTTTAATTGGGGGGCAAGATGGTTGGTCAGCTCTGGCCCGATCTTGGTGAGCATGCCCAGATTACACCTGCATGACACCCTGCGTTGATGCATAGGTTCAAGAACGACGGCGCGCCGATCCTTGGTTGTTATACTGTGACAGGTCCTACTTGGAGATTCATGGGCTTCATGGGCCGCTGTTCAGAGTTTAAGGGTGTTTCTTGGAAGATTTTTAGGAATGCGATCGGACACAATTGAAATTTTGGTGTGTAGCAGGTGGTGAATATGGAGGGACTAAGTTGGCCGTAAACTTCGAACTATCACCGATAATCCTCATGTAAGCTCTACCCTCAACTCCTTCTATACCCCTTGATAAGTTGAGTTATATAGAGCTCTGCGTTATGCGTTATGAAGTCCCGTATGGGAGTTTATGCTGGTGGTATAGGCCCGAGTCTGATTCATTAGGCTCCTACATTGCACGGTTTTTGATTGAGACTCTGGGGTTTGGGGTTTAGACCCTGCTGAGCTTAACCCATGGGAACGGCAGAGACACCAATGAAACGACACACATCCCCGAAGGCTAAGCATTGTTTGCCAGGAGCATGCTCTAGACTTTATCACGTCTCCGGAACAGTCGGTCAGGGCTTGGGGCACCGCGCAACAATGTTGTACCCCAGTAGAGAGATGCAGCCAGCCAGGATGTGGTCGGAAAAGTACGGGCAGGGAGCATGGGAAGCATTGAGTACAGTCAGCCCCATTAAGGCCTGGGGGCTGGGGTCGCGCCCGGGGGGGGTGGGTGATGTGGGCGGGTGGGGTGGTGGGGCGGACCACCGGTAGCGACGGTCGTGGCACAAAGAAGTTTGCAAAAACAAGTCGACATAAGAAGAGCTGCAATTTGAGAGCGGTGGTGTTGGGATCTCGAATGATCCCGAGGAGCAGCCCATCGGCTACGGCAGCAGTCATAGGCAGCTACAACCTTCCGATCGATCCTTCTTCGAAGGTGCCCTGGCCATCGTTGCGAGTTTTCGGGGCTTCGTGGAAAGTTTGCAAAGGTATTGCCACGGCAAGCTATGCGACCCTGTGGTACTGTGATGATTGTGTTCCATCATGGCCATCAGCATCCACGAAGAAGGAGTTAATGCTCCGTGCAAGCATCAACAGAGTCCCACAAGCATTTTGCGTGATTGTAAGCATGTTCCCATTCTGCAATGGTTTACATAGTGGGTCTCCCACAGTTTGCCTTTCCGTTTGTTCGTCCGCCCTTGCGGCTGGTCAATGTCGCGTCTGGCCACCTCTTTTCTCATCGCAAGACTCCTCAGGACAGGGTGGTCCCCGCCGGCGACGGGGAATGGGCGAAGGTTTCGGAGGGCCTAGGCTGCCCGTCGGCATTGCAACCTTCCTCCACTGCCCACGCACTTACGCCAAGCTCCCTTGCATCCGACTCACATCTCGTTGTGTGCGCGGATAGCACAAAATGTGTCACGACAAATCTCATGCTTTGCGTAGGACAGGCTTGGAAGCGTCATCCGCTTCCAGCGTAAACATGGTCAGTGTGCTTAAGGCTTCGACTGCTAAAGCTGGGACCATCAAATTCAACGAAACATGAGCCCGAAACCCTAAAACATCTTAAAAGCTGAGCGAACTAGGCCCACCTCCCAGCAAGACCCCACTTCGAAACCACCGCACCGACGATAAGCAGCCCAATCAACAAAGCACATGCGCAGACTTAACGACACATTGGGCCTGCAGAGGTACCGAGTTATGAGTGTTATATGTAGTATAGTTATACTTGTATGCTTCTTTAGGGGCTACGGCTCTTTGCCTGTTTTGGAGCTCATGATCGGGCCTTCCAGGTGCCACTGATCGGGCCTCCTTAAGTTAAAACCGGTCCCCCGAAACAACACTTTCAGGATTCCATTTACGGGTTCAGAGTTAAGGTTTTGGGCTTAGGGTTTAGGGTTTAGGGTTTCTTAAGTGGCTCCCCATCAAGATACCCGGAATCTTCGCTGAAACCTTAATCCTATACCGCTGAAGCCCTAAGCCCCAAACCCTCCATTCCGGCTGCCAGACCCGAAACCCTCTAGCCCTTTTTGCAGGAAACCGACATGCAGTGTGATTTAATTGAAGGCCCAAGACCTGAGCAGCCGCCCTTTTCGGGTTTATGGGCAGTTAAGGGTTTCCTCATGCGAGCGCAGGCTTGGCCATGAACATGACAAATTACGACGTCGCAGTTCAGGCCGCCGCATCTGCTCACAAGCTTAACCCATATGGTTCTACAGGGCCGAATTTAGAAAATTGCAAATATTTAGGGCGGTCACCGCCCCGGTTGTCCGCATTCACCCATGCAAGAGCCCAGCAGCAAGCCGGGTTTCTTCCATTCACACAACCACAAACCACACGCTCCCTACGAATTCAATTGATGTATTTCCGTCACCGACTTTATTTCCATGTTCGTGTGGGTTATGCTTGTCTTCATTGATGGCTGCAGAGTTGGTGCTCCGTTATTTTCGGCTTCGTTTGAATGTTCGTATCAGGTATTGTGGGCATCATTTCGGGCTGTCGAGTTGATGTATGTCTACCATTTCCGAAATCAAGTCCGTGTTTGCGTCGACTATGTCCGCCTCGTTTTTGGCTGCAGAGCTGACGCATTTCTGTGATTTCCAGCTTCATTTCCGTGTTCTTCTCTCCCGCTTCATTTCTGTATTCGCATCGGTTGTTGCGTAAGTGTTGCATTTCCGCCTTCATTTCCGTTTTGGTCGCAGCCATTGCCGGCTTCGTCTTTGCTTGCAGATTTGATGCATGTGCATCATTTCAGACTTCATTTCCGTTTTCTCGTCCGTGTTCGTATCGTGTGTTCGTGACAGTTATTCCGCTTCATTTCCGGCTGCGCACGTGTCCGGCTTGATTTCTGTTTCTTTTTCCCTTTTCGTGTCGGCTATTTATTTCTGGCTTCACTTCCGCCATGTTCGCAACAGTTACTGCAGGCCTGAACTTGGGCTGCACAACTGATTAACCTGTTTATGCTATCGGCTATTTGCTGCCTTGTTTTGACAGCATAACTGCTGCATTTCCGTCATTTCCGACTTCACGTCCGTGTTCGTTCGGGTTGCTGCGATGCGGATTGGTGGGTTTTCTCGTAGCGAAAGCTTTCAAGCTAATGCCGTGAGAATCCCTTGCCGGATGATAATCACAACGGCTCCTGCATAGGTGTAAACGGCATTGTTGATTCAGAGGGCCTCCGGGAACTTATTCATTGGGTCTATGTTGGACCTCTTCCAAGGCTTTAAGGAATGGCTCACAAACGGGACCCTAGAAATCCCTTGAATACTGAACCTGGGAGCCCCAAAGCTGTGCTGTGCAACCTTCGTGAGCCCGCGAAATCCCTAAACCCCAAACTCTCTAAATGCCCTAAGCCCGCGTCCAGTTTCGTTTGTGCGTGGCCTTCTCCAACGACCGTGACTTGGAGCAGTCGGAGTCCTTTGACTTCCTGTACGGTTCTTGTGCGGAGTTACGGAGCTTGCGAGCTGCCGACGTCTCTCATTCATCGCGAGAAATTTGTGCTGGTTTAGGCGAGGGTTCATCGTGGCCGAATGGTGGCAGCGAAAGTTCGTTATTTCTGCTTCTCTGCTTTGTCAGTATAAGTCCAGCGACTCTTGCACCAGAAAAGACACAAGTGGGATTTTGAGCTCAGGCGCTGGTGGCTCGGTGCCTGAGCTGATTTCAGCAGTTCTTTGGTAATGCGGCCGGTTGCGCCTGAGGGGGCTTGAGTTGAGGGCGCACAGGGTTTTCAGGAAATTGGAAGATGAGGCAAAGAATGAGATGTTCGATGGGATTTATACAGGTGCCTACATGAGTAGCCTATGGTCTGGACGCTTTTTGTACCAGAGTTTTCCTTATGAAAATTGAACAACAAACACATACCTTTGGCTGCATCTAGAATAGGACGCTTGGATATATCATACGGTACCCCACCTTGATTCAAGGGGATCACGATACTCGTCATATTTTTGGGTTTCTGCATGAACTGCCTGCCGAATCCTCCAATAAAAAAGGAACCCCGACAATCTCACAATCTCTTAAGATCCGATTCTATCATCCCTTACAGGTGTCGTAGCCCCATGAACCCCATTATAGGGCACCCCGAAACCCTGAACCCCAAACCTCAAACCTTATGCCCTATGCATCCTATACCGCCTCGGACTTCTACATGTCGTTTCAACCACTCTAGGTCTGAACCTAGTCGCCACAGAGTAACTGCTTCATATAGAAGACTGGAAAAGGAAGTGTCCCCGAGATGTACTTTATGATCTCCCGTCATGTACAAACATGATTAAGGGCCTACGCCCCGTTAACTTCCAATTCCCCTTCCGTAATGCCTGAAGTTAAAGGCCTAAACCTGCAAGAGTAAACAGGCAACCCACGCTAAGCCGCTCAACCGCTTCAGCCCCCCTCTGGACCCCTGTCCATCTCTTGGCTCTTCCGAGACTTCAACCCTCGACTTGTAACACCCGAAGCCTGAATCCCATACTTCTAAACCACACATCTAAACATACCAAGAAAGCTCAAACTCCAGATCAAGTGACCCTTGGAGCGAGGCAGAATCCAGGAGGGCGCGACATTTAAGACAAAGCTTAAAGGCACAAGCCGAGCATGCTTTAAAAAGCGCCCAGTTCAAGCTGCGTATTCGCCGCGATGCCTGGGATGACGCTGACAATGGGCCGCCGGTTATGGTGGAGGCGGTGTAGCGTTCAAGGTGTAGGATTTGGAGCCCGTGGGTATTCTGCAAAGCTCTGTTGGATCCTTGAAGTGGTGCTGGGATTTGGGGCGACGCTCCGATTCTCCAAGGCATCTAAACATGAGGATGAATGCAAACTCGACAAGTCTCCAGAGCAATCAATTTCAACATCTCAGACTGCTTTGTTGTAATTTGTGCACGTGTGAAGTAGCATGTTGTGTGTGACGTTGCGGCACAAGTGCTCTAACAGGAAAAAGGCGTAGCTACTCAATGGTATACCGTGCTTAACTGTTATCACTTGGACGGAATATTATCAGTGCGTGTGTGCAGTGAACTATAGGTTATCAGCCGTATAGCCTACGGCCAGGTCACAACTGGTTACAATACAATCAGCGCATGAGCGAACCGGAACTTATCCCAGAAATGGATACAAGCGCCTTGAATCCTTCACAGCCCCCGGTCACGGGTGGCCATACAGGAACAGGCGCCCCCGGCTTAGTTTTCCCGGCACCAGCCTCGGTCCAACAGTTCAACGTTCTCGCACCTCAGCACAGTGTTGAAGTGCACACAAATCAGATCAGGCTAGAAGTCGGCGAACTTGAAGCTCAAGCAGAAGCAAGACACAGGCAACACATGCTGACCTATCAAGAAGCAGCCGCAACTGAAACAGCAAGTTTGGAGCACAGAGAAGAACGCAATCACCTTGAAGTGGTAGCGGAATTGCAAGCCGCCTTGGCATCCAGCGAGTACAAGGCAGCAGCTCGTGAGAAACTCCTCTTGTCTGAAATGACGTTGAGCCAGGCGCATTCCTATGATGAAGACAACAGATTGCGCCAAGAACTTGCGGATCTTCAACAAAGCCGAATCACAGACGCACTAGGTCACTAGATGGCCAATTGGCCGAGAGTCCCGCTTTGCAAAGAACCTGGAAGAACATGCAAGACAGCACGTCGAAAATTCGCAGGAAGTAATGCTGGAACAATGTCAAGCACACTTCGAAATCTTCAAGAACAGACAGCAAGAAGAATACGAAGCATTTCTTAGTGAGTTCAGAGAACAGAATGAGGAGCTTCAGGACAGATTGGATTCAGCTGAAAGGGCACTCGAAAAGGTCTTGGGTCAGCCAATGCCTGCTCCGAGCACGCCCGCAGGTAGTCGCCAATGTTCTGGATGCCTAGTGTTCAAGGTGCTAGGAACCTGTTCGAGTCAATGAACCCAGGAGGCATGAGCGCACAGCCAGCTTCGCCACCGAAGCCGAAAGAAGGGCCTTCACAGGCACCACCGACCGGAACAGCGGCCCCTCCAGCGGCCGATTCCGGCGCGCCAGTGTCTGAGGTCTTTAACACGGGTCTTGTGGAAACCCAAAGGGCAAGCCTCCAAAGTTTGAGGAGCCTCAAAGGCGAGCCCAAAGAAGACGTAGGCAAGCCTAAAGTGAATGAGGCAGAGACCATAAACCTCCCGGAGTTCCCAACCCCCGAATCGTACCGGTCTTGGAAGACGGCAACGAGGGAAGCGGTTAGAGCAGCCACTGACTCGCCAGACGAGGCTTTCAAGTGGGTCATGCAGGCCTACAACAAAGACGCTAGTCATGAGTCGCTCAGAGACCCCGAGAAATTCCTCACCCTTGATACGAAACTCCTTGCTGCACTTACCAAGGTTGCTAGGGGAGAGCTGTCCCGCGAAATCCTCATTTTTAAGGAGACAGAAGCGGCCAAGCACAGGGCGGTTCGAGGACGGCAGGTGCTTTATCTCTTCGACCAGTACTTCAAGACAAACGAGGAGGTAGGTTCCCTGTATTCGGTTGAGGACTTGCTAAAGGTTAGGCTTCTGAATGATGACCTTTCCACATTCATCAGCAATTGAGAGAGCGTGATGTCGGGACTCAGCCACACGCCTGATGAGACTACTCTGCGTGACATTTTCCTCAGAGAGCTTAGGCAATCAAAGAGGTTGAAGTACGACTTGGAAATTTATGACCGCGCTTCAGAGGGGACAGATCAACACACGTCAAGTTTCTGGTTCAGTCGCTAAAGGATGTTCTCACACGAGAGAGAAAGCGCAAGAGCCGAGACAGGATCGCCAGGTCACACGGCGACAAGTACGGTGCCCCCGCGTCTAAGTCACCAAGCCCCTCATCAAGACGAGGCCGTGGCAGATCACAGAGCCCTAGGCCAAGGTCGGCAGAAGCAAATCCGAGTCTCCCTGAAAGTCTAGGTCCCCTAGCCCAAAGGGAGTATGCTATGATTTCCTCAAAGGAACTTGCAAACGTGGTAACAACTGCCCGTTCCTTCACAAGAAAGGATCGTTGTCCCCACAAGGCGACAAACCCAAGAAGAAAATCAATGCAACCTGCAAATTCTGGAAAGAAGGGAATTAATTGTTCTAGAGGCGATAAGTGTCGGTTCCAACACAAGGACATTGAGAAGCCTTCAGCTCCCGCTCCGAAGTCCGAAGCAGCCCCAGCAGCCCCCAACCCTGGCCTCCCGGGTCTCTGCCGAAGAGCAGTCCCCGGTGTTTCCCGAGGCCCGGCCGGTGACCCTGATCCTGGCCCCACCTGCCCTAATTCGACTGCTACCTGTGCCGACCATGCTCTTCCCGAGGTAGGCCGTGCCGGCGTCCCTTCCAAGGTTGATGCCCCAATCTCTTTTAGGACCTGGGCTTCTGGTGCGCATTTGAAATTTATTAAGGCCCGCACGCCCTTCTCCTATTTTCTTTCGAGAACTTTGCACCTTTGCCGGCGCGGTGACCTCACCCCGGCTTCGGTCCTTTTCCCGCTTCCCGTACCATACCCAGGCGTGTTCCGGAGCAACCCCTTTGTGGGCTCCCGCCGTTGCACCTTGATCGCTGAGAGAAGGCTCTTGCACATTTTGGTGGTTGCCCTCGCCTTCTCTACAACGACTGTTCTTTTGTGCCGCTGGAACTCCTGCAAAGAGAGCCCAACCGGGCTCAGCGGCGGTGCTTGCGTTACTTGGGGAGGCTGATCAGGACTTACGGTAGCGAGCAGGAGGGCGTAATACCTTCCACCGCCGGCCGTCGAATGAGTGTTTTGCATGCCCGCCTCGGTGAGCTGTCGGAGAAGCTCACTTGCTTGGGTCCTGTTGACCCATATGCCTGGATCCCGCCTGAGGACCGCGAGCTGCCTCAAGATTCCCCTGCTGAGGCCCTGCAACCCTACGTGTCTGTCCAGGCCGACCTCCTCCAGCTGAGTGGCACGGGGATCCGACTCCTTTTCTTTCGGATGAGCTCTGGCTTGCCTACGTCGAGCCCAAGTCGCTCCTTTTTGGAGGGGTCCCGCCCGCCGGTTCCTTTGGCGACTGCAGCCGGGAGGACCGAAACTTTGCGATTGGCTCGGCTCTGGTCGTCTATGGGCCTCTTGTGCCTCGAGCCCTTCGACCCCAGCTTGCCGGAGCATTGCCACACACGCATCTTTTGTGCAAAGAAAGCTTCTGGGAAGCTTCGCCAAATAGGCGACCGCCGGAGGGTCCAGGCTCAGAGGTCTTCCCGGCGCCGCCGAAGTTGTGACTCACTCCTGCGCGTTCGGCTCGCCGTTTCGGAGGGCTCTTCGGCTACTTGCTGTCGGCTGCTCCCTGGAATCGGTTGCCCGGCCGTGTTCGTGTCTTGGGGGGCACAAAAAAAGGTACAGGGCCGATACGGAGCCGCCGCTGCGCCGCTCACCCCTGGTTTGGCCTATGCCTTAGGCTCCAGCCTTGACGCCGTTCTCCGGGCCAAGGGAAATAGGCTTGCCGCGGCCGATATACAGGTTGACGGGTTGGAGCGGGTTGCCTCTTCCGACCATCCTGGAGTCCTCGACCATCGCCCGGCTCTTCCTCCACCTTGCTTTGGAAGGCGGCCCCCTTCGCTTCGCTAACCTCTGTGACTCCAACGTCGCCAGGTGTGCAGTTGTCAAAGGACGCTCGCCGTCCCAGGGTCTTCGGCACTCGGCCCGGCGGGCTTCAGTCCCAAGCTTAGCTGCGGGTCTCTACCACGGGGGCCTGTTCTGCCCGACCCGATGGATTCCAGCAGACGCCCCGTCCCGCTCCAAACCGCTGCCCGAGCCTGTTGGGAATCTCGGCCCGGACTTTTGGGATCACAAGAGATTCTTTGAAGACGCCCGCCGGCCTCGACTCCGCCGTTGGGCTGCCAACTGGCTCCGCCTTGTCTTTGTGTTGCAGCCTTCCCTTGTCGATCTTAAGGCAGCTTCTGCTGACAGCCGTTGGTCTTCGGTGCCTTCACCGCCTCCCGCCCGTTCGACTCGACTTTGGGCTTTCCGGGGCGAGGGGCCCCGTCTCGGCGCCCAGTGGACTTTCCTTGTGCCCTGTCTTCTGTGCTTCTCGGCCCCCCGTTCCTCAGGCAGGCTTACCTTCGGGGCTTCGGGTTTGGGGCTTTCGGTTTTTGCGCCCGCGGCCGCACCAGAGCTCTGAAAGCCGAGGCTGAGAGGAGGCTCTTTCGAGCAGGCCTTGAGCTGGCGAGAGGCCGCCCGATGCAGGCCTCCACGAGCAGTCGGCGTGAGAAGCTGAGGGCTGCTTTCGAAGACTGGCTTTTTGACAAAGGTCGCACCTGGGAAGGACTGAAAGCCTTAGGGAGGAGCGACATCGACCAGCTCAACGAGGTCCTTATTTGGTATGGCCAGTGGCTTTTTGAGGAGGGAAAGCCATACTACCACTACGCTGAGACCCTGAATGCTTTTACTCTGGACTGCCCTTCGGTCAGGAGATTACTTCAGCCTTCCTGGGACCTGGCGTTCGCCTGGCAACGCCACGAGCCCCCGACGCATCACACTGCTATGCCTTGGCAGGTGCTCCTTGCTCTAATGGCAGTGTGCTACGTCTGGGGTTGGGACGATGTTGCCGGGCTTCTGGCTCTCTGCTGGGGAGGTTTAGCCAGAGTGGGTGGAGTGCTGGCTGCCAAAAGACGGAACCTGGTCGTTCCGGCCGACGTCGACGTGGAGGCGCTTCCGGGGCCCAAGCAGGTGTTCCTTTCGGTGCTGGAGCCAAAGACCAAAGACCCGCTTCAAGGCAGCCCGGCACCAGTGCTTGAAGATCGACCAACCCCAACTGGTCGAAGCGATCATCTTCGCCTTCGGGCGTCTCGACCCCGAGGCCTCGCTCTGGCCTCGCTCTGGCTCTGCGCTCCGGCTTCGCTTCAAGAAACTGCTCGCTGCGATTGGGCTTCCCATTGGAGCTGTTGAAGGAGTGCGGGACTTTGACCTGGCCAGCCTCAGGGCTGGAGGCGCCACATGGTTGATGAACGTTACAGAGTCTCCTGATCTGGTCAGGCGCCGAGGCCGCTGGATCACGAACAAGGTCATGGAGATCTACGTTCAAGAAGTTTCGGCGATGATGTATCTCCCTCGACTGGAGCAAGGCCAGCGGGAGAACCTCTTCGCTTGGACAAACTCTTTTCAGTCGGCCCTCGAGTTTGCCCAGTGGAGCTCTTCGCTCCACCTTTCTCCGAGCCTGAGGCACGTTCTGCTGCAGCACGGCGTATGCGATGCTTGAGACTTCGGGTGTTTTCTCCATGCTAGAGTGTTCGGCGCGGAGGCCGCAGCAGCTGTACAGAGCAGCATAGCGCTGCAAACCTGTGACCTTTGTCTCAAGGTGCAAAAGGAGTGGCGAATCCTTGTTTGCTAAGGATGAGTCATGAACCTGCGCCGTCTCAAGTTTCACCCGCCCGGCCCTACCCACGCCCGGCCGCAGCAGCTGTACAGAGCAGCATAGCGCTGCAAACCTGTGACCTTTGTCTCAAGGTGCAAAAGGAGTGGCGAATCCTTTTGTAGTGAGTGTTTGTGCTGAAGTTTTGTTTCTAATTAGTGCCAGCCCCTTTGGTGATGCAGTCTCTGTCGGCTGGCTGTGACACACCGCGTCATCTCTGCAGGGCGTCAAGCACTGCGATGCGGAGACTATGCCACCGCATGGTGGCTTTATGTCCTCTTCACGTCGTGCATACGAGGAACGCCTGCGCAATGCTGAAAGGTCTCGCGAAGCTCAGGCAAAGGCAGATGCCCGTCGCCAGCAGCAACAGCAATATCAGCAGCAGGGACGGTTCCGGTGGATGGTACAGCTAAGCTGCCTACCACGCATTTCGTGGTTCCGACACGTTAACCGGTACTCCGAATTCCAGCCCCTCCTAGAGGTGGCCGAATTCCCTTAAACCCAGAAAAATTTCATATCGCACATTCTGGCAGTCGCACAGCGACAACTCTGAATCGCCCGCAGCTCCGGTGGATGATGTATTCGTCCCATGCTGCACCGATTTCTTGCTGCTCGCATCCACGCCACATTTCAAGGCTTGCTGGATCGCCGCCACTTTATAATTGCATGTCGCGACTTTCAATCGCGCGCCAAAAGAATTAATCTGCTCCCGTATCTGCCGCTTTAGGGTAGTAGAAATCCTATGAGCCCCGAGCCACAATCCAGCCGCCTTTATGGCAGACCGCACAGCGCCAGCTTCCGTGCATGTTTGCGCCTCAGACTGTCGCTTCGGCGAGGGGGGTGTAATTTGTACACGTGTGAAGTAGCATGTTGTGTGTGACGTTGTGGCACAAGTGCTCTACCAGGAGAAAGGCGTAGCTACTCAATGGTATACCGTGCCTAACTGTTATCACTTGGACGGAATATTATCAGTGCGTGTGTGCAGTGGCTTTCTACAACTATATTTGCTTAAGTCCCAGGACGACAACTCTGGCCAGCTTCAATCGTCCTTCCAGGTCGGTGATGTCGCGGCTGCGACAGAGAAGAAGATCGACAAGACTCAGCAACAGTTCCAGACAAAATGCAGACTCCGACAAAACGTAGAACCGGATACACCTGCCCTCAAGTGTACTCAATAGAATCCCCAGCCCCTGTTATTAAACCCACCGGCAATAGTAAGTCCAATTGCTTCACGCCTTAGGGTCTGCACCTCCATCCCAAGGCTACGTCGGGCAGGTGTGCAAGCCCCAAAGGCCACCCCTCACCTCCCACAGACACCCCCATTAGCCTTAAGGAGGAAAGGGTTTTTTTCATGTTGGCCAGGAGGAGTTCTTCGCCACAGCTGAGTCATCTACTGCCTTCTTTCACCACACGTGTGGCGTCCGGCATGATGTTCGGCTCCTATCGTGCGGAGGTTGGTGGGGCAGCTTGATCCGAACTTGGAGGGGCATGCGGCTGAGCATCTTCCATAGTTCGATGCCATACTTATGAGTCACCCTGACTGGCCTTATTAAGCAGTTGTATACTCCAAGTGTAGTTATAAGGGTTTCACCCCCAGTTATAAGTAGATACGAAGTCCCAAGACTCGTCAAGAAGGTCTCGAGTTGAGGAGGGTAGATCCTGACAAGTTATAGCTGGCCTAAAACTAGGAGAACCAGAAGTACAGTTATGAACACCTTACAGCTATCCATGAAACTAGAAGTCGCGTTTTTCCCTGAGCCAGCCGGAAGGCAGCTTCCCCCCCTGGCCCAAACTGAGAACTTCTTCTGCAACTTCAGACTGCCTGTGGAAGCCCGTAACCGTATCGGCTTTAGGCTCCTGGCTCAAAAGCACGCAGCAAGGAGCGGCAAAAACGGTGAGACTCCCACAAAAACCTTGGGTTTCATCCTGGCAGATTCTGAAACCTGGACACGATGTCACTGAAGCATGATCAGCCTTTGACATGCTATCATCAAGCCTTTATTAATCCGTGCGCGACCCGCAAGGCTTCGTCAAAGCTCGCGGTATGAGAAACGAGGGCGGCCACCTCCCAGTCTCATCAAGATCATGTGGTTTTGGTTTCTCTCTCGGGGCGGCTTCCGGTACCGCCTCGACTGCACACGTCCGTGGCATACTGTCGGCTGGATCGGCGGCATCACGAAGCCAAAGCTGTAGCTGCAGGCACATCCTGATTACAGTACAACAAAAATCGCAAGCGCATCCCACGTCACTCGCACCGTCAGCACGAAGAAACGACTTAGACGCAGCTCCTGAAGACCCGGCCCAGCTTCTACCCGTGAGCGTACGCTCGACAGAGCCGGGAGGTGGCTCTCAGATCAGCTCCACGGGTTGAGAATGAAGTTATTCGTTATTAGGTCCGTAGTCATCTGGATTTCAGGCCAAGTATGTAGCAGAAGGTCGATGCTGCTTTTGCCAATCCAGCCACACGAGCTCATGGCGACTACAGCTACAGGCATTTGTTGTTTGTGTTTTGTGGACCCCGATTTTTGGGAAGCTAGTCCAACACACATACTTGAGCCGTTTCTAGGGATTCCGAGCAATTCGGACACCACGGGACGCGTGGTCAGTAGCTTTGCTTTAGGCTGCCAGACTGACAGTTCAGGCATAGCGTGCATTGTCGACATTCATCACAGCCAGACTGGAACAAAAGTTTGGCTGGACAGCTTGCAAGTGGAGCAACTCGGCCGTTTGATGGTGGTGTCAAGAACTCAGTGAAGGGTGATTGTTTAAGCTACATTCTGAGCCCCCCCATATATCCACCTACATGACGCCCCTCCCCCACCCGCACCAATAATATGTGGATTACTGACCTACTGCATCTGAGAACGGATGCCATTGGAGGGAGCTGCATCCCTACCTCGACCCCGCCCTACTCGAACCCACTGTAAGTTTGCTCAGACATCAAGCAAAGCCGCAAGCTCTGACTTCCAGTGGGGCTGCTGAGCTTCAACGCCGAAGCCTAAACCCCAGCTCCCTAAAAGCAGCCGCAGCCTGTCAAGGTTTTGGGAAAAGATACCCGACGATGTGTGCCGATTTGCTCCTGTGGTGCTTCCTTCTCCGACACAGGTGGCGGAGTCTTGGCCGCGAAGAGAGTTGAGTTGTTGAGGGCTTCGGGCTTCCGGCGGAGCGCAGGAAAGCTCTTCAGGGCTTCCTTTGTGGGACCTCCTAAGCTGCCCGGTGGGCGACGGAACAGGGTGCCCTTTATGCGGGGGAGCATGGAACGACGGAGGGAAGGAAGAAGGGCCAAGAGGCACCAGGTGGGTTCAAGCCCGAAAGCTGCAGCATGGAACAAGGCAAGCGCCATTCCACTTCTCCATATTAGCCCCAAACCCTGGCCCAGGAGATCTTCAAGACAAGCGAATGGCCGGAGTGGAATGACAGGCACGTGACGGTGGAAAGGGGGGAGCGTCCACTTTATAGGAGGCCCAGCATGGGACCACCCTTCTTCGGAAGCTTTGGGATCTACTCCTTTACACCCCCGTGAGCAACACATCTTCAGCCATCCAAGCCTCCGCGCACTTACCGCTCCCATCCCGCTGTTGCCGCAGAGCAACTCTCATCCAAGTCCTCTGCTGTTGGCCCCAGAGCAAATAGCCGTAAGAAACCTTGAAGGTTTTAGTTTAGGCGTCCTGCGATGCTCCTGGCGAGAGGCTTGCAGATGCTCCTGTCTTTTGTCCACTCGGCGAGGCCTTTGCAAATAACCTTTGGCGCTTTGTGCACAAAGCGCCGCAGGCTCTAGTTCACACATTCCTATTTGTGTGGCCCCTAAACTCCCAAAAAAGGGCTCTACAGAGTCCTCTGAGCAGTTTGCTTTTGTAGACTGTCGTGGAGGATCTTCCGTTGCTCTTCCGGCGGATGTTTTCTTGGAGATGGCTTAAATAAAGGAAGCCCGTTTGAAGGATGTTGAGGGGTTTAGGGACCTGCAGATTTTCAACAACAAGAGGGCTGCCCGGCTAAGAAGTGGCTTCTCAAAAATAGAAGCCCCAACAACGGACCCCATCATCTCGTTGCTGTTTCCAGGTTCTCACCGACCTGAATATGGTCGATGGGTTGGCCGGCTGATCTGGAGGGTTTAGGGTTTAGAAGGCCGCTAATCGCAAAACGAAAACCCTAAACCCCAAACCGCAAACCTTGAGCCAGCGAGTGATCCAGCCAGGATTCACCCTAAATCCTCCGCATGAGCAGCGGGGTGTTCATGCCATAATTCCATCGGGGACCCAGGAGCAAGGTGCGTAGGTGCATCTGCCGTTTTGTGAAGGCTTAAGTGGTCTGCCTTCGACTTCAACTGGTGCGTCTCTGAGGCAGTTGAACTACCGGTGCGGCGTCGTGCCAGGCCTAGGCTGGGCGCTGGGCTCAGCCCGCACGGCACCACACGGCATATAGGCTTGGCTTCTTCCCCAGTCTTTGCGGGTTTCGGTAACTCGTTGACACCAGCCTAGATCCTTGCCCAGCATCGGGGAAGGGCGAAACAGGAAGTCGTCACAAACAGTGTCCACATTGGGGATTGCAGGCTTTGCTTGACATGTGATTGTTTTTCATCGCACGTCTCAGTTTCTGTGTTTGCCGTCATTAGAAGCCGTTTTGGCTAGACTTGAGAAATTGTCAGCAGTTTCAGTACTGGGCAGGACCAGAATCGTCAGTCACTTACAAGCGACGGCTTGGTGTATGGTCTGGGGTATGGCCAAGGTATGGCCAAGGGAATAGCCGAGGCACAGATTGGGATTTCGTTTTGGGACACCTCCATACAACACCGCTTCATAACTGTTCTCCGTTCAGTTTCTACTGTTGTTTGTCTTGAGCGGGTGCTTGTGAAATCGAGCGTCTACATTGGGAATGGCTATTCTCCTGTCGCTGTGATGCCAACGATGTGTGTCTTGCGCGGGTGCTTCGGAAATCGAGCGTCTAATTGGGGAAAGGGATTTGTTCGACATGCCTGAACTCACGCGTTTCACTGCGGAAGCGACTGGATGTTATGACTTCCCCGAAACAAGTCATAACGCGTGTTTCCGTCGAGGAAAGGCTCCAGAGCTGCAATTGTTATGTCTTCAGGGTCCTCCTGCACTTATGAGCCACCAAGCAGGAAGCCCATTGAATCAAAGCAGCTGAAGAGCCGAACGTGCTTAGGGCGTCAGCGGTTAGATCTCGAGGTCTGGAACCTTTGTGATAGAGAACTATCCAATCCTCATCCTGTCGAATAGCAGAAGACCGCGTATGTGAAGTAGTCTACCCTCGTAAGTTGAATCCATGGCCCTTCTGGCTTTTTTTTTGGGGTGTCGGGGTTCTTTAGAGTTCCGGTGTGAGTGGCTGCGAGGTTTAGGCTAGATCTTAATTTGGATGTTGAAGATCCTTTGCGGCTGGGCCGCTTCAGGTTTTTGGCGCACTTCGCATGACATTACCCGTATACACCATACTGGACATGTCATGTTTGGGAGACTTAGCTTAGGAGAAGGTTTTCATGTACCCCCCAAAAAAGCAGAATCTCATCAAGCGACCCCCGCAAAAAGGGACCCGAATTTTCGGAAACCACCACATGCTAGAGAGCGTCATGCATGAAGACTGGAGCTATGCATTCGTTTGCAGGCTCTTGCGTCGAGTGGTTCACCCCGCAACAGAAAATCGCGAGCTGGCATGATTACCGTGGTCTACTGAAAATGCCTGCCGGCTGCAACTTAAGGTACTGCTTTTGGGGTTTAGGGGCTTGGGTGGGTTTAAGGTTTAATCAGGTTTGTTTCGCAAGGGACCAGACTGCGGAATTTCCCCGACTTCGGTCTGCAATTTTACGGCTGCCTGGCGCGAACCCCTTTTCCACCCTGGCTTAGTTAATCGCTTAACAGCATCCCCCAATCACCCCATATAACCACACTGCTTGCATTTGAACGCTATTCCAACCTTCTGTTCCTCGTTTGTTTGGGGTCGGTGTTCTTCCGGCTTTGGATTTTCAAGGCGTTGAGCTGCTTTGCACCCAGACGGTCTGTAGGGCCTCCACCTGTTGAGGATTTACAGCGGTGTGAACCCTAGACTACAAAGCCCAACCAGAGGGACACCCAAATTGTTCGGCATTCAACCCTAAACCCTAAGTGAGGGTTGAGGGCAACAGTTTGGGGCAGTGCCCGGCCTGTGAATTCGCATCAGCCACGAGGCGGATGACGCAACCCCAAGCCCCAGGCCGCAAGTGTTGCTTTTCTTTCCTGCATGAGGACTGTGCTGTGCAAGGAGGACTCGCTGTTGAACGGGTTCCACTTCGCAGCTCGTCCGGACAAGTGCTAGAAGTCTCCAGATTGCGGGTCTTCGCAACCGAATGCGATCGTGGTGGTTCATGGGACCTGGAACTGGGTTAATCGGCCCGATAATGTTGTTGCAATACACGTTTTTGGAATGTGTTGGGCCTTCTACCCAAGATCTTCCAAGCAGGGCATCTTCAACTGCCGATGGGCAAGTGTCAAAACAGAATTTTCTGAAGATGCCTGTGCTGCATGGATGGACTCCAATGCACATGGGGCAGGGGGAGGGGGGGGTGCATATTACTATTATTAGGGTGAGGGGGTTTCTACATTTTTAGTGTAGAACACCTGTGTTCGAAGTGACAACGAGAGCGTTTCGTCTTGTGTCGACTGAGGGATGTGATCATGTCGACTTGCCACTCTTGCATACCGTGGCTATTTTGACGATAGCTCGAGTCACTTCGAAAACTTGTCTTTTTCCTCTCCCCCGAGCCTTTGTCCGATTGCACATGGTGAGATTCTGAAGGAACATCCCGAACAACTTCTCTACGATGAGTTAGCCTCCGTCAAACATGAAGGTACTTTGTGCCAGTGGGTCCGAGAGGGTAAGCATTGCCGTGACTTCGACCACTGCAAGTTCGACCACCCCGATTTTATCAACAATACCTGGGTCGCTCCGAGTTTTCTTTGTCGAAAGTGGTTTCAATGCACTTGTGCCTTCTCTGGTAAGTGCTGGAATATCCACGGCCAGAACATCGAAGATGCTATGCGCACTGCGGTTCGTAGACAGAAGCAGGTGCGAGGGTCACTGCCATTCAAAATCGACACCGCTCATGGGCAACGAAGCTTGGTGAACCAACGACAGGCCAGGGCTTTCATTGTGAACACGATGGCTGAGTTTCGTCGTCGTGATGTTCGCGACTTTATCTTCGGTCACCGAGCACCTTGACTTCGACTCCTTTCAGGGTTCCGTCCATGACGACCCGTCAAAACGGGTGGCCTTTGATGCTGCTCGTCTTGGTTGTTCTTTGACCCCACCAAAACCACGGACTCCGAGAGGACGATCGCCGACTACACCACGAAGGGACAACCGATCCCCTGTAAGGGCTCGATTTTCGCCGGCGGCTCCTCCGCCTCAGACGAACAGGGTGTTTGGCCCGTTGCTGAGCTCGGACTCTGAGGGGACCACAGCCCCGACCTTCGGGGCCAGAGCTTTGACGGACAAGCTCCCTTCCCGCCACGGCGATGTGGGAACCGGTTCTGCCCCGTCCGATTAGAGTACGCCATTGCCCTGTTCGACTCAGGCCAAGGCTGGCGGCACGCCCTTCCGCCAAGGCGATGTAGGCGGGCGCACTACACCGAGGCCATCTACTTCGAAGTCGGCGAGACAGTCTTTGTCACCTACACAGAGATGGCCCGGTAAAGGCGAACATACCTCGACAAATCCTTCGACAGCAAGACCACCGATCCGCAGGACACCTGAGGCGGACAACGAGGATGAACGGATAGTCTATCCGCCGCCGAAGCCACAGACCGGCCTGGAGAAGTATTTGGACTCAGTTTGGGACGACGAGATCATCGAAGTCAATACGCAGCAGGAGACAGCATCCCATCTCTGGTGACGCCTACACCGGCACCCGCCACACCCACTACACAGGTGGTGGCACAGCGACAGTCGGCGCAGCCGCGGACACCGCGATGCAGATCGACTTGTCCGACACTGCGAATGACCCGACACAGGCCTTTACAGTTCATCTGATCCCTGGTGGGAATTTGCCCAACATCGACGCTGGTTCTTCGAGCTTCAACTCGATCCCTTGAATCTGAACCATATGGTGATGCCGCCTGGAGTTCACACGATGCCCACCAGATCGAATCGGACAACATCCCGAACTTCAACGACTGCCTTCCCCTTTCGCATCACCACCCGAGCCATCAGCCCTGACTACGATGAGCTACACGGGCCAATCTATGAACCACGACCAGCCTTCGATGGGATTCTCCACGAGAATTGTGTATTCCCACTATCCGCAGATCTTCGAGAGCCTCGACCACATCCCGCCGATTCATCCGGCCGACATCGCGACGCTTCCCCCTGGAAGATCTCTACGGAAGGACTGTTCTACCTCGAACGCTCGATCCAGTGCCACACGATCGCATGCCGACTCACGCACTTTGGAACCTACATCGACCCCTCTGTGCCCCCCCCGAACAACCAGTCCCACATCGAGCGACTACTTTTGATGGCATCACCGACTCACCTTGTTCAACCCCGACAAGCTTTCACCTTTGCCGCTACATGTCACATCCGCTGGCCGACCTCCACCACACCACCATCGAGGACCGTCTTCACAGACTTCGAGCTTGGATTCAACATGCTGCGATGCTTCGGGGTCAAGTCGATGTGAGGTCGAGCATTTCGTACATCAATGATCTGCTCATCGAGCAGAGCAACGCAATCGCCGAGGTGGTGACGGTGATGTTGGCCCCCGAAATGCATTACCACTTCGCGCAAGATTCGTCGATATCGCGATTGGTCGTCGCCGACCCCCCGAACTTCTTCCTTCGATTTCGCGAGGGCTACTGAACTCTCACGACGATCCCTTCTGAGTTTTTGGCCTTTTGATTGAAGTCACACCTTCCGCCTCGGCGAAGTGGTGTGACTCAACCGCTGCCTAGACACCAGTTCGGAGAGCTTTCACTGAGTGCTCTCGATTCCTTCGATTTGTTTGCAACAGACGTGCCATATGTCTGGCAACACTCCGGTTACAAATGACACCCTGTGTTTTCGGTTGATCCGACAGATTCATGCGGTTTCTTTGTGTGTGAATTTCTTTGTGACATGTTTGGGGCCTGCTTTCTCCTTGGAGACTGCGTGGCTGCTATAGCTACTCCCTCGAGTCTTCCGAGTTAGGCCCCGAACTTCGATTGTACCGCCTGCACAAGATGGCCGACAAGATCAAGACCGAGATCTCTGCGACCCCGATGGACGTTGACACAATGAAGGCCTCGGATTCCGCCTCGGCGAGCACCGGCGGCACATCCTCCATTACACCGGTCGCCCGGTGATCGAAGGCACCGACCCAGATACTGACGAGGGGAAGCGCATCAAAGCCCAAGGTCGACAGTATGACGACGATGTGGCCCAAACCGCCCTTGAGGTGATTGCTTTCCGGGCAGCCTCGGAGCGACGCGCGATTCGTCAATTCCGAGCGACGTATCCGTGCGCTTCCGACAGAACTTGACAGAACACTCCGAGAACTGTGGTTCAGTCAGCTCGCGGGCACTGCCGTCGATGAGAACTTCCTGCCGACCAACTGCCGATTGTTTGAAGGTCATCTCCAACCAGAACGATGCCACAGTCGTCGATAAATGCCTCGGTTGCACCTTCTGCGGTTGTTGTTCCCGCCGTACTACTTGCTCCCGATCAATCCCGAGGGCGTCGACATTGGCGAAGTTCCCACTACCGATGTTGTTATCAGTGCGTCGCCGGACAAAATGATGACTATGTTTGGCACTCCGAAGCCTCCGAGTTGGCCCCAGCGGTCATCAACGAGAAGGGCAGGGAGGCATTACGACAACAGCGAGAGAGCCAAGGTCGAAGAGCGCGACATCGATGACGATCACAAGCCACCCAGTTGGCGCATCGCCATCGATGTGGGCAACAGCCACTGTACGGACGAGTGTTCTTCGATACGTTCTGGGACAACACGCGACAGCGATGCGTTCGCAAGCCGTGCTTCATGAAAAGCAAGAATTACGACGACGACTTCACAATCATCGGTTGGTACCGACTGTGCCAGAAGATCAACTCGATCCTGAAGACCTCCAGATCGAACACGACAAGGGCGCGAACCTCGACTTGGTCGCAAATGTGCGATGCCATCGAAGACGAGCGACCGGGGTTCAGTAAGTCGGCGATTCGCCGAGAAGTCCGTCGTCGACGACTTCTATACTAACTGATCGATTTGTTCTCGACGTCGACCAGATGAGCACCGAGCAGAGGTCCCGAGTCGTGTCGATCTTCATGAAGTGGGAGCAAGCATCGATCGCGAAGTCGATCGATCCGAATTGTGGCAGGACGACGAGTTCTGGAACAAGGCGACAATGCAGGCGCCATTGTCACTTTATCTGTCGCAACCCGGACTGCCGATCTGTCGTGCACAACTGTCACTGGCTCCGACAGATCTCCCACGAGTATTCGATTTCTTCGCAGCGTGGACGGTACAGTTGTCCCAAATGCCTCACGCCGTATAGTCCGTGGGCGACCAGGACCTATGCTCGATCGCTCAACACTCCGACCTTGGTCCCGGCCCAGAAAGCGCTCCTCATGAATGCGCACGACACTGCGCAGCAACACGATCTCCGAGCTCAGGTGATCGAGACGCCGACTTCGAAGCACTTGCTTTTCCTCATGAATTGGGAGAAGACTGACGACGATGTCCTCATTGCCAAGCTCAAGCAGGCCATCGCAAATATCCGCGAGGACATGAAGGGAAAGAATGTCACCCAGCACCTCGTCAAGGCGATTAAGTCGGAGAGCAGCAAGCATCAGGTCTCGCCTTACTTCGAGCAGTACACTTGGACGTCGCAAAACATCTCCGATGTAATCAATCGAAACCCGCTGCCAAGGATAAGTACCGCCTCGACCTTCTCCCGACTATAACCTCAGGCCACACCCTGTCTTCGATGAGGAGGCCAACAAAGCTGGCAAAAACTTCGAGTATACCCTCGAGAAGTTCGTCATCAACCTCCCGGTGTACCAGCAGGCACAGTACGAGTACACCGAGGGCAAGACTGTGGTTTTAAGCCAAGACGACTTCCTCCGATTCATGGCATTGTGCTATCTTCGACTCCGCATGGCCCAGTACATGACGGAGACAGGCGGAGCGCTGCCTTCTCGGCCGAGTGAAGCGGTGGCACAGTACCGACGAAGTGTTTCCGCCACGGCGATGAGTCACAACGACCACCGCGATGACCCGAGTGGAGCCCCACCTTCCGCCTCGGCAAAGCAGTGGCGGC